TATGCCAAGAACATAGGCTTCATTACGTTGGACCAAGTGAACTTCCATAAACGGATCATTGAAGACATCTACCTTATGACAGAATGCTATCTCTTTGTACATAAAATTTAAAATAGTCTATACTTTTCACTACATTATTCCCATTCTTTTCTCATCCCATTATAATCTAAAGTTTAATAAAACTACTTTTTTAAAAATATATTTTATTGATTTTTCACAGAGAGGAAGAGAGAAGGATAGTTAGAAACATCGATGAGAGAGAATCATCCATCAGCTGCCTCTTGCACACCTCCTGCTGGGGATGTGCCCACAACCAAGGTACATGCCCTTGATTGGAATCGAACCAGGGACTTTTCAGTTCGCAGGCCGACGCTCTATCCACTGAGCCAAACCGGTGCCGGCTAATAAAACTACTTTTGCCAAAATTAAAAATAACTCTATTCAACAGATAGTTCTCAGTCCTTGTCAACATTGGCAATTACTTAAATGAATTAATGAGTACCCTAAATAATCCCTTTATAATTAACTTTTTTGTTGTTATATCTAACAAGTGGGCATTTCTTATGATTACATTCCATTAGATCTTAATTCAGTGAGGTATTTTGAAGTGAGTTGATTTAATTTAACGTAGGTAGATTGATTTCTAGTGATTTCACAGTTCAAGATTGAAGCATCAAGGGTCTAAATTGGCTCGTAAATCCAGTAGCTTCTATCAAATGTGAATCAACGTACAGTTTGGACCTTACTAATTTATGTCTAAATTCTTTGATTGTTGCATTGCCTAATTAATAGACTCACTACCTCTAAATGCCAGCACAGAAAATGAGTTTATCTTAAATGTTTAAGATCTTATTTGCTCCTGCAGAAAGATCACAATACCCTTTCATCAATAGAAATCCAATTTATTAATTAACTTGGTTGCAAAGAAATATCTAGGCAACAGAAAATATACTCATCAGTATCTACCATATATCACATGTTAGGCCTGGCTCAGTAAATATAAAGAATAATTGAATTCTGGAATCTTATAATCTAGTTCGAGAGCAAAGAAAAGAACAAATTTTGCTTTGGCATAAAGCTCACCCAATATGTCTTCTAATTTTCTTCTTATTTCTTCTCTTATAAAAATTTACTCAACAAATTAAAGAAGTGTTTACTGATTTCATACTTTGTGCCAATCATTTTGATGTCAGACAGGCTTCTACTCTCTTGGCTTTTATTTTAGTTTGGAGAGGAGGGTTGGAGAGAGAGAAAGAGAGAGAATAAAACAAATAATTGTTTTAGATCAAGATAAGTGCTATGAAAATAAACAAGGTAACATGAAGACCGACTGGGTACTATTTTAATTGGGTGATCAGGGAAGGCCTATTTAATAAAGTGCCTCAGGTGACATCAGCTGCAACCGGAGACAAGAAGCCATGTGAACAGACAGAGGAAGAGTTCTCCAGGAAGGAAGAGAAATTGCAAAGGCCCTGAGCTGAGAACCAGCTGAGCAACAAAATGAATATTAATTACTAATATTGACTTTCTTGGGGATATACTTGGAGTGTGAAGATTTATAAGCCAAGGTCTCCGTCCTACAGTTCTATAACGCGGATAGGCATAAGCAGAAAGAACACGATACAGAACCTAGTAGACATTGCAGTGACCAAAGTATGTACAAAGAGGTGCTAAGGAGGAGTGATTAATTCTCTGGGGAGTGTTTTTGAGGTTTCACAAAGTTGATAATACAAAACCAGGATTTTGATATATGAATAGCGTTGACAAAGCAGGGAAGAGGGCTGGTGGAAGGGTGACAGGACAGCGGACAGGTGCAAGTGTGTTTCTTAACGATGGACGCTACAACAGAGGCCCAGCCACGAAGGGCCTTATATTCTGTGCATGATGGGCACAACCAAAAGGCTCTAAGGAAGGAACCCCAGGGCTGGGCTTGTGCCTTAGATGGATCACCATAGGTTCTCTCGCTTAAATCTGTGGGGAAACAAATCTGGGGCATTTCTGGAGCAACGACAGAGACGAAATGAGGATGATGTCAGAGGCGCAGGAAAAGAGCTAAGAAATCGGGAGAGGATGTTAGCAGTGGCTGCCACAAACGGGTAGGGCTAAGCCGCCAGTTAACTTTCAGTATCTGGCTCACAGAAGGCACTCCATCCATTACTTGTAGAATGAATAAAGGAATGCATGGCGGCTGGATGTGGTAGCATGGTGTCTTATGAACAGAAGTCATCAGGCCCCAGGTCAAATACAAACTCTCCCATTCATAGAGAGCATTTGAGGGCTGAAGCTTCTTTTTTAGGCGTGCTGCTTTAACCCCAAAAACCCCACGAGGTAGGTGTGATCGCCATTTTCCAGAGGAGAAACACCTGAGGCTCAGACTAGATGTAGTCAAGGAACCAGACCCACAGCAGGCTGACAGCCAGCCAAGTGCGCATGCGTGACACTTGGCAAGCCTCAGCCCGGAGGCTCAAAAAATGAAACGAATCAGGTCAAGTATAAACACACACACACACACACACACACACACACACACACAAAGTCTACGAGAAGTCCGTAACTCTCGACAAGGGGATTCAAGGGGGTTCCAGAACTTTCCTGCCTGCCGGTCACTAGAAGGTCAGAGCGCTGCGTCATAACGGCCTGAAGCCAAGCCACGACCCGCGACCCAGGAAGGGGGTGGGGGTGGAGGTGGAGGTGGGGGTAGGGGTGGGGGTAAGGGGTAGAGCGGGGCTCTGGTCCGGGGAGGAGGCGGGCGCAGCTGCGGGGCAGCTCGTGAGCGCCGCGGCCTGGGGAAGCCCCGGGGCGGGCGGGATGGAACGGCGGCGCTGAAGGGCGCAGGCGCAGGAGCAGGCGCAGGCGCAGAAGCGTATTCCTGGGCTGCGCGCCTCGGACGCCGCGGGGAGGGTGACGTCCTTTCCCGGACGTTGGCAGTGCTTCCGGGTCACGGTCACTGGGAGCCCTTATCTGGGTGACTCTTTGGCCGCCCAGCCGCTGCCCGCTCCCCACTCCCCCGCTCCGTGTCTCGTCCTCTCCGGGCCTCCTGCCTCCGCCCGCCCGGGCTCGCCGCGCCCTAGTCCGGGGCTGTCATCCGAGGTGGGTGAGATGCCGCGGGGAGTCCTGTCCTGCCCCCCGCCCGCCCACTCACCATCTCCCACTCACCACCACCTCTGCGCGGCCCGCGCTCCCCTGCACCTTCCGCCATTTTCCCGCCTGCGAGGGCGGCCCGATCGCACTGAGGGTCTCGGGCCCCTGAGAGCTGGTGACCGGGGACGGAGAGGGAGTGTTTGGGGGTGTGAGTGTGTGTGTGTGTGGATGGGGCAGATTCGGGGTGACCGATGTGTGTGTGTGTGTGTGTGTGTGTGTGTGTGTTGGGGAGGAGAGGGGGGCGCTTGTTGCTGGTGGAGATGCAGAGGCCGTGGGTGGGGGTGGAGTGCGGGAGTCGATAGGACGACGTGGGTTCAGTTCAGTTTTTTGTTTTTGTTTTTCCTTCGGAATAGAAGAGATGAAAGGGATGTGGTCCAAAGAGGCCTTGGAGGCCTTGGCAGTCTCCTTCTAGGGTCTACGCTTGAGAAAGAAGAGGGCTTCATGCCTTCCTTCGTAGTTGTTTTGGGGTAGGAATAGCTTATTCAGGGAGCTCCATCCGGGAATCCCTCTTCCCTGCTCCGCTCCCGTCCCTTAGCGCAGGGATGGGCTATGTCGTGGGCCTCAGCGAGGGCTGTTGATGCGTGAATTATGGAAGGGCCCTCATTCCTCTCCTCATCGTGTATGCCATTCCCCTATGTAAACAGTTTTTAAGGTGGGGATAATCACGCAATGTGGACATTATGTAAATTACGAATGATCTCATCTGTTGGTCTCGTAAGTCCCCAGGGATGGGTTAAAAAAAAAAAAAAAAAAAGCATGTTCTTGAAGTGCTAAGTATTGTTATATGCCGTATTTTTCTATCTATTTGGAGAGGGACGAAAGCTTGGAGGACACAGAATTTGGTGTTAGCTTTGCATCCCTGGGAGGATGTGACGTCTTTGTTATTCCCTGTTGGGGGAGTACTGCTTTGTGAGATACGTGTGTTTCCTGATGATTATTTTGTCTTTTTAAAATGGAACTGCAGTGCGCCAACCGGTTTGGCTCAGTGGATAGAGAGAGCGTCGGCCTGCGGACTGAAAAGTCCCAGGTTCGGTTCCGGTCAAGGCATGGACCTTGGTTGCGGGCACATCCCCAGTGGGGGGTGTGTAGGAGGAACCTGATCGATGATGTTTCTCTCTCATGGATGTTTCTAATTCTCTATCCCTCTCCCTTCCTCGCTGTAGAAAAAAATATCTATAGAGTACATTTAAAAAATGTAAGTGCAGAAATGACTTGAAAATTTTCCTCCTCTATTTTGGGGAATTATTCAAATCTTGGGCAAATATTTCTGAAAGTATCCAAAGCTAGGATAATGTGAAATCAACCAGCTTCAGGAAGAAAAATATCTGTTGATATCCTTTTATATCTTAATGATATCAGCTGATAAATACTGTAAATCATATTCTTTTTCAGTTAAGTATCCTAAGATGAGTAATCATTTCCAATTAGTTAATAGGTGTGTGATTTTTAAAAAACATTTTTTGTTTGTTTGTTTGTTTGTTTCAGAGAGGCAGAGAGAGGGGGAGAGAGTCAGAAATAGCCATGATGAGAGAGAATCATTGATTGGCTACATTCAGCACATTCCCCACTGGGGATGGAGTTGGAAATCCGGACATGTGCCCTGACCAGGAGGATTCCAACTGGGATATGGTTCATAGGTCCATGCAACCACTGAGACATGCCAGCCACGCTGTGGGTTGGTTTTTTTTTTTTTTTTAGGTAACTTTTTATGTCAGGTGCTTTAGATGTAATAGTGTTGAGTAAATAGTTGTTGATTGGCATGAAGACTAGTAATGTTACTTGATTATATCCTGACTTACTTTGACCTATCTCATTGTTGTTTCTAATACTTAATATAAATATTTTTTTATGCAGGAAAGATGAATGGCAGGGCTGATTTTCGAGAGCCGAATGCTGAAGTTGCAAGACCAATTCCCCGTAACTATCAATTAAGTATTTATTAGAAGCACTTTATACTTTAAGAAATTTTTACTGTCTTGACTAACGATATACCAGCTGGATTAACTTTATGGGAGTGTGACTTGTGCAGTCACACAAAGATAGACCCACATTTGAAATTGAAATTCTTAATAATTTGAACAAGATGTTTCATTTTCATCTTGCATTGAACATAGCACTTTATATATCCAGTTCTAACTAGCAGATAGTATCATTGACTTCTGTTTGAAGTCAGAGTTTGTTAAAAGTTAATAACAAGCCTGTCGTTTCATTTTGAAAATTGTGTGAGTTTTGTTATGTTTACACCAGCAATTTTCAACCCCTGTGCTACAAGAATTTTTAGAATATGCAATCCTTGATTATTTAGTCAGGGCACTGACCTCTTTTTCCTTAAAGTGACAGCAGCTAACACAACAATAGCCATCCAGTGTGAATGATTCAGAAGTATACCTTTTTTTGTTTGTTTGTTTGTTTTGTCAAATTGGCAAAAAATATATTTTTGGTGTGTCGCAGAATTTTAGTAATTAGTTTATATGTGCCATGAGATGAAAAAGGTTGAAAATCACTGGTTTAAACTGAAGTAATTTTTTAAACTTAGTTTTTCGATAAGCATTTTAATGTTTGTTGATTTCTCCTTGGTAAAAAGACATAGGGGCTGATTACATTCCCACAGAAGAAGAAAGAAGGGTCTTCGCAGAATGCAATGATGAAAGCTTCTGGTTCAGATGTAAGTTAAATTTTATAATCAACAGAATTTGACCTTTGATGATTTCATATAGAAAAAAAGTTGGCACACTTTTGGTGGTATAGTATGATTATTGCTAAAAGAGATTAAAGTAAAAGAATTCTACATATTTTAAAGTAATGATTTCTATAACTTTTTTCAAGACTATGAAGTATTTTTGTTGGTAAGTAGTAAGAGAACTTACTAAGTGAATATAGATTAAATGAAAAATACCTAATAAGGTTGATTATTATTGCCCTCCCTTTACAGATGAAAAATTGAGATTTAGCGATGTGAAATAGGTTTTTTAGTGTTACACAGCTGGTAAGTCATGATGTCTGTATTCAAAGCCACTTCTGTCTGAAACAGAAGCTCATGATTTTACACTTGATCTTAGCCAAAAGGCTGAGAAGCGATAGAAGCTCATGATTTTAATTCTCATTTTTTAAAATATATATTTAATTTATTTTTTACAGAGAGGAAGGAAGAGGGATAGAGAATTAGAAACAATGCTGAGAGAGAATCATTGAACAGAGAATCAGCTGCCTCTTGCACACCCCCTACTGGGGATGTGCCTACAACCAAGGTACAAGCCCTTGACCGGAATCGAACCTGGGACCTTTCAGTCTGCAGGCCAATGCTCTATCCATTGAGCCAAACCGGTTTCGGCTAATTCTCATTCTCTTAGCCATTACATAATACAAACTGATTAGTTCTCACTTTACCATTTTGAAATGTTATCTGCTTTTGATTTTTGATTAGAGACCTTATACATGAATTTTTTATTTTTTTAAATTTCTTTGTTGATTGTAGTATTACATATGTGTCCTTATCCCCCCATTAAGGATTTTATTTCTTAAATACAGAGAATGTTACAAGAAACATAAGACATATTACTTTTGAACAGAACCCTGGTGTTGCTTCACTTGTTATTGCAGTCCTTTCAGATAAGGTAATTCTAACAAAACAAAAAAAGCCCGAAGGAATTTTGAAAAGGGAAGAGTGACCTAAGGAATAAAGGAGGATGTACCTTTTCATCAGTCAGCCAGCTATTTATGCTTATAAGGGAGATAAAGTTTTATGAGACTCAGTCTTTTTGCCCTAAAATAGTTTTATGGTGTAGTTAAAATAGCCAATTCATAAAACACTTTTGAGAAAGATTCCTATTGCAAAACAGCAATAGGAATTTTTAAGAGATAAATGAATTGGAATTAATTTAGTTTAAAAAGATTTCACTCAACAACAGAGACTTCATAGACCTTTTAAGTAAATGAAGTAGATGGTGGAGGAGCATTTGGATGAAAGGAATAATGAGCAAAGGCAGATTCTCTAATAACTTGTTCTCTGCTTCTTGAGTTTGCATTGATTGGAGCAGAGGTCTTTTGTTAGGGTAGAAAAATAAACATGATACCAATGCGTTAAGGCTTGATTCATTATAGATTGTAGGTTCTTGGGGATTGTAGGCCAAGGAGATGATATGCAAGTTTTTAAAGGAAAATTTGTTAGTAAGCAGGGTGAGTATGAAGGATGAGAAGATGTAGTTGGCAATAACTTGGGCATATGGTTATTGAGGGAATGTAGTTGGTTGTAGTATCATTTGGACTAGGAATGTTGGATTGGCAATGAAAGGTTTTTTAAAGGACACATAATAGGATTTTTAAATAGGTGAATTAAGAGGGAATGACGGAAATACTCTAAGATACCCAGTTTAGGAGACTGACTAATGATAACATTACTGATAAAAAAGTATAGTTTGAAGGAGTTCTTGTTTGAAGAATGAAACGTTAGGACATTTTGAGTTCATGACACAATATCTGATGATGGAAGATCGGAACGCAGCTAGAGATAGAAACAAAGGTATATATAAGAAATTAGCGTTTGTGGTGTAGGGGTGTTGGTGAATTCACCATGAAATTAAGTATAGAAATAAAAGCATAAAACTGTTAATGGTATCTATCAAGTGGTTAATATTTAGGAATAATGAAATAAATGACAAAGTTTGAGTAGCACATATGGATAAGAGAACCAAGTGGTGGTGAAAGAATGAACAAAGACCAGGAAAGAGCGGTTAAGATAATAGGAGTTCTTATAAGATCATTTGGCTTTTATCCTCTATTTAATACTCAGAGATTTAGAGGTTTCAAGCTAGAAACAAACTGTGTGAGAATTAGGTGGTGATGCACATCTCTAGGTGAGAATAATTGTTTTAAATGCATAGTCATTGTATATCAAGAACTTAAAAAAATATGAGAACAGTTTCTCAGATAACTCATTTGTACTCTGGCAACACATCTTTTTTTTTTTTATCTTCAGGGATTGCATAGAATAGATAGAATAAAGTGATCTATTTTCAAGTCTATAGATAACACAGGATTAAGAAAAAGACAAATCTAAAAAAAAAAAAAGACAAATCTATTAGATAAATCTATGTTGTTCATTGTACTTTTGAGCTGATGACCACATAGATACGGTTTTATTCACATTTACTTCTAGCTGATAAATTTATGCTGCAGTGTGTGTTTAACATTTCAGATAATTATAACAGTGCTATGGTAAAATTACATTGAAAAATAGTGATTAATAGGTAAGGTACCCAGGCATGCTTGTTTATTTAAAATAGAACATTCGTTATATGGATAATAGTAGCCTAAATAATTCAGTTTATTAAAGCATATTAATCACAAGTTAGATAGAAAGCATGTGATAAGGACAGGCTAAGAAACAGCTTGTTGTATATTATATCTGGATTAGTGGGAAATTATAGCAGCCAAAAAAATCAGTGTACTGTATCATTAAGTAGTGATTACTCTTAAAACAGAGATTAAACCCTTAGTGTTGCATAATATAACTTCAGACATTGAAAGTGCATAGAACCTTGGCTGTAATTACAGATATAATTACCAGGAGATAGACTAATAGTCATGCATTAAGAAATTTTGTAATTTGTATTTTCACATAAGAATATTCTATGTGGTATATGATGTTTGCATATATTAATGTAAACAAACAACGGAATCCATTTTCTTTGGAAAGTGTCATCTTGTGCTGTTGATCTAAAAAGGTTGTAATACAAGTAGGAATATATAGAAAAAGTACTTACTAAGATATTTTTTACAGATTTTTTGAAGTCTATTAACTACTTTGTCCATCTTGGTTAAGATTTAGACATGTTGATCTAGGGGCCATTCTTACTTTAAGGTAATTTTATTTCTACTCTGATTTTTTTGTCCATCTTGGTTTAGATTTAGACATGTTGATCTAGGGGCCATTCTTACTTTAAGGTAATTTTATTTCTACTCTGATTTTTTTTTTTATCCTTACCTGAGAATATTTTCTCCATTGCTTTTTCAGATAGTGGAAGGGAGAGGGGCAAGGGAAAGAGAAAGAAACAGCAGTGTGAGGGAGATATGATTGGCTGCTTCCCACATGGGTCCCTACTGGGGTCAGGGTTCGAACCTGAGACCCTGAAACCCGTGCCCTTAACCGGAATAGATCCCGAGAAACTTCTGTATGTGGGCTGTTGCTCTAACTACTGAACACACGGGCCAGGGCTATACTCTGATTTTAAGTCTGTTAGTAAGTAATAGAGTGAGGATTCAAACCTTAGGGTTTCTGCAAATTGTCTGATGGCAAAGCTAATTCCCCATTTCAAGTTACGGATTTTAATCATGAAATCTAATAATTCAGATGTCTTAATTATGTTCTTTCTTAAATTGCCCATATATAGTCTAAACCAGGGTTGAGTAAACGTAAGGGCCATGTTTTTATATGACTATGAGTTAAGAATGGTTTTACATTTTTAAATGGTCCAAACCAATCAAAAGAATGTTTTGTTACATGTGAAAATTATAAGCAAACAGATCCCTACACTGATAGAAACTCTTCCCTGATTAAGTATCACACTGTGCCCAGTGCACTCATTTTTTAATTTTTTAAATATTATTAAATGCTTTTTTTTATATTTCCACTAACTGTATACAGTACAGCTGTTAAACATGGAAAAAATCTCTTAAAGATCTTAATTTTACAACATATTTCCTGGATGGTTTTATTAATAAACCGTTATCCTACTGAACTCAGATAAAATCTTTTCCTTTTGTTATCTTGACAAGTTCTTTCTCTTCTTCTAGCTGTGCCTTTGGCTGCAACAAGTATGTTGATTACTCAAGGATTAATTAGTAAAGGTAAATATTTAAAATTTGAATTTGGCATTTTGAATATCATGTTTTTATATGGTATTTTCCTGATTTTTAGATAAAGTAAATTTGATACTGTATATATAAAGCATTATCATGGATAAATTTTTACAACAGCCAAAGAGTTGTCTCCATAGATTGACCCACTGCCACAAATATCTTGATTTGAGAATTTGATAACATCTTGCATTGTAGCAACAATAACAATCTACAACAGCAAGAAAGTAAATAAAAGCCTATGGATGGTTTACAGGGTGGCAGAAAGGCCTGTTCTACCTAAGTCATTCGCTTTATTGTCACCTAGGAGCTTGTTTAAAATGCAAATTCATGGGGCCCCGCCCAGACCTACTGAACCTAACTCTCTAGTGCTTCTTATACACTGGTTTAAACATGAATGACTCCCTAACCAGCTTTGTCTTATGATAATAGAGGGATGGGGACACTTTCTTGTTCCAAATTCTGCTGGCTTAAAGAGGGCAGTGTTATTCATATCTGCAATTGAGTTTAAAGTAAATATTAAATGTTTCAGTCTCTAATCTTAAAACTAAATACTCATTACATTATTTTGTGAACTATGTCCTTGGAATAAGAAGATATCATAGAAAAGGGTGGCAACCTTAGGATGAGCTCACATATTCTAAAAACCTGTTCTTTTAATTAGCTGGCTCCTGAAATGTGACTATGATAGGAAAAATAGCCTTTTCATGTTAGCAGTAAGAAGTACTTAGTAGTATTGGTAGCTTAAAATTGGTCAGGGTCCAAGTGTTTACTCTCCATGGAAATCAACCAACATTATAAGTTAGGGCTTTTTATTGAAAGAGCTAGTTTACCAGTATATCCCAGAATTCATCCACATTGTTGCATAGATTAATCTAGCTGTAGATTAATCTCATTTCCGTGTAGTTTTCCACTTTGTGAATATACCACAGCAGTTAATCCATCCTTTTGTACATTGGCAATTGAGTAGTTTCCAACTTTATTACAAGTAGTTATGCCATGAATACAATGTCCCTTGGTAGACATTTTGCTTGGTCATAAATTGTGTATATATTCAGATTTAGTAGATACTGCCAAACTTCTCAAATGGTTTGAACCAATTTATGCTCCCACTACAAATTTATTAATACAATTTTATTAATAAACTTTCACAATACTTGCTATCTTTGTATCTTTTATTGTAGCCGTGTGGCGAGTGAAAAATGATATTGATTGCATTGTGAGTTTAATTTAATGAAATTGAGGATCTTATGTTTATATCCTATTTAAATATATTCTTTTTTTGTGAAGTATCTGTTTAAGTCTGTTGTCTATTTTTCTATTGGACTGTCTTATTTTTCCTATTGGTTTTGTGAGTTCTCTGGATATTATGGAAATGAGTCTTTTGTCAGATATGTGTGTTGTGATTATTTCCCCCCACTTGGATTAACTAGTTCTTAATTAAATGTCATCCATTATGTCAAATCTCTACTTTATGAAGAATGATTTTTATGCTCTAACATCTTTGTCTTTTACAAGAACATGAAGAATCTCTTAGGCTTCTGTAAGCTTTATTTTATACCCATACTTAAATTTTTAAATCAGTTGGGATTGTTTTTTAATGTTGCATGAGGTAGACAGACTCAAGTACATTTCCTCCCTTATGGATATGTAGTTGACCCAGAACTATATTTTGAAAGGACTTTATTTCTTCGTTCACTGCAGTGCAGTGTTACCTTTGTCATAAATCAAGTGACTGTGTGTGTGGGTCTGTTTCTGGATTCTTCTGGTTTTGGTAAATTATCTATTCATATACTTATAACAGACTGTCTTAGTTACTATAGTCATAGATCTTGATATCTCCAATTTTGTTGCTCTTCAATATTGCCTTGCTTATTCTTGGCACTTTGTTTCCACATGATTTTTAGAATAAGGTTTTTAATTTGAGGGGCAATTTTCTTCAATTTTAATTGGGATTGTATTGAATTTATAGGTGAATTTATGGACACTTGCCATCTTTACAATAGTCTTGGTGTATAAACATGGTGTATTTCTCAGTTTATTTAACTTTTATTTCTCAGTAAGTTTTGTAGTTTTCAATGTTGGGATCTTTCAGATTTTTTATTAGATTACGCCTGGGTAGTTGATATTTTTTAGTGCTATAATAAATTATATCTTTTAAACAGTGTTTTTGTTTGTTCTTGATATAAAGAAATAATTTTATGTGTGTGCAATGACTTTATATGAAGTGATTTTTGCCTCTGCTAATACATTGTTTAGTATTTTCAATTTTATTCATATTTCTGTTGATACTAAGTTTACTTGGTTGTTAAATAGCTTTAGATTTCTCTAGGATTATGGAAAGAGCTAATGATATTAGGTAACATTTAAAGATAATCTGTACTGATTCTTCCTTTTACATTTTTCCTTATTTCTGTTGATAAATAATATATCTTACTTTATATTTTGTTGCTGAACTTTTATCTCACATTAGAAGAGATCACATAATGATTAGCAATTTCTGTGTTATTTTCTTAGATACTCCTAGCATAAACTTGTCAGTGTGAATTTCTCCAACTATTAATGTTACTCAGAAATATTTATTCATTTATGTTTAGGATTCCTTTCAAGTCATCCTAAATATGGTTCCATTCCTAAACTCATATGTAAGTATGAAAACAAATGTTTTGTCTTACTCATAACAGTTATTTGGCTATTTGTTTTTACAAATCAGTTGAAGTTTTTTATTAAATGGAAATTTATTATGAATCTTTTTATTGTTAGCATTAAATACCAGGAGTTAAAAAGGTATTTATAATGTGACAGAAGTATTAATTTAAATTATTTTGTAAAGATATACTATTTGAAAATAAATTCTCAAATACTCTATTAGAGAAGAAAGTTGTTCAGGGATTCTGATTAATCAAGATAAATTATAAAAATTAAGTCTTAATTTGAAAAAATAATTTACATTAAAAATGTAAATAAGCATAACTTACTTATATTTTGTAATATGGTTAATAGGAAATGGGCTAAATTGCTTTTTAAGATTACCTGAAGTTTTTTATGAATCTTTCCAGTTAGCCTCTCTTTTGTATTGGAAACAGACACATGATTCAATAAGAGCCATATTTAGGTAGCATTTAATAATGCATTATTTTAAAAGATTTATTGCACCTAATTTTAAAAACAAGCTGAAGAAATTAGCTGGGCAAATGATTTGATTTTCATCTGATTTAATGTGATAGTTTTATCATTATTTCAGGAAATCTTAGTTTTTTCGCACCAAAGATATACTTAGAATTTTTTTTTTAAATATATTTTATTGATTTTGTACAGAGAGGAAGGGAGAGAGATAGAGAGTTTGAAACATCGATGAGAGAGAGTCATCGATCAGCTGCCTCTTGCACACCCCCCACTAAGGATATGCCCACAATCAAGGTACATGCCCTTAACCGGAATCAAACCCGGGACCCCTCAGTCCTCAAGCCGACGCTCAATCTGCTGAGCCAAACCGGTCTCGGCTACTTAGAATTTTTAAAAAATGTACTTTTAGAAAAGATTCTTGTCAAAAGAAGCACATTGAGTTACATTCTTTTTTTTTTTTTTACAAATAAGTTGCTTGCATCATGGGATACTTTGCTGGAAAGCTTTCTTATGTGAAAACTTGCCAAGAGAAGTTCAAGCATCTTGAGAATTCCCCTCTTGGAGAAGCTTTACGATCAGGACAGGCACGACGAGCTGCAATACCTGGGTAGGCCAGATTCTTATCTTTATTAAAGGTTTTTAAATTTAGCTAAAAAATTGTAACTGGATATTGCCATAGTTCAGGCATGAAATATTGCCTAACTGAAGGACCATTGGAAACTTGACACTTTGTTGCAAGCTAAAGCTAATTAGATTTTGAAAGGTAGTGCTAGCCAGGCCAGTGTTACTCAGTGGTTGAATGTCGACCCATTAACCAAGAGGTCACCAGTTAGGCACATGCCTGGGTTGTGGGCTCAATCCCCAATAGGAAGTGTGTAGTTGGCAGCTGATTAATGATTCTCTCTCATCTTATTTCATTAATGTTTCTATCTCCCTTTCTCTCTCTAAAATAAAAAAAAAATATTGAAAATAAATAAAGGGGGAATGAGATTTGTCTACCTTTGTTTTATATAGAAGTTGCATCCTATTGGTAGTGTGTATCCCAGAATAAAGGATTTTAATTGGGCAAACATCTTTGGTTACCTATATTTTTTTCTCTTGAATTCTCAATTTTTATCAGTTTCAGCTCAAATTTAAAGTTTTTAATCCTTCTGTTTAAAAAGGGAAATTGTGTAAGTGAATCTCTGGATAGATAGATAAGTAATAAGGTAATTAGATTTGATAGATACATTGTCATATAAGTGACAAGCAATGTAAACTCGTTGCGAGCTAGATGTACCCTGTTTCCCCGAAAATAAGACAGTCTTATATTAATTTTTGCTCACAAAAATGCGCTAGGTCTTATTTTCAAGGGATGTCTTATTTTTCCATGAAGAAGAATACGGTACACATTTATTGTTAAATGAAAATAAAGGAAATTTATTACCTGTATACGGTACGGTAGTACGGTAGTTGTCAACACAAACCAGACAAACTGAATCCTACAGTATCAAAAATTTACTCATTTATTCAATGACAATCATGTCATCATCTTCTGGAACATCATCATAACAATCCAATTCCTGAATTTCTTGTGACTCTATTTCTTTCAGAATCAGTGGACCAAATCTCTCATGTTTAGCCTAGGGGGGCCTTATTTTCGGGGGGATGCCTTATATTTCACTCAGAAGGAAACCTGTAAGTAGGTCTAATTTTCGGAGGATGTCTTATTTTCGGGGAAACACGGTACTTACATCTGCTTTATCACCGTAGAGTTTATGTGGACTAATACTGTATGAGTAACTCCCCAGTTAATGTGGAAAATGGACACATTTTCTGATCTGGAGTATTTTTTCTTTCTCAAAACTTTAAACACATTAAAATGATCTCTGAAGCCTCGTAATTGGAAAACTAAATAAACATTTTTTTTCCTCCTGTATATTGAGTGACAGTTTTTAAGTTATATAAGTAGGTCAGACCATTTTTGTGTGTGTGTGGCAGAAACAGGCTTAATTTTACCATTTTTAAATAACTTAAAATAATACAATTTCTTTAGAACATAAGATAACTGATTTTTATACCTATCTACGCTTCTTTAAATAAGGTATAAGAATAATTCATGTTTCTTATACAATATGAATTCCTTTTGTAGGTACTATTCTCAGAAGCCAAGATATGAATCCAATGTGAGTGATCACTCATCTTTTGTGACAGCCCCCGCAGCAGATAACATGGATAAAGAGAAGTTTCCTCGTTATGAGCCAATTCCATTTAGTTCTTCTATGAACGAATCTACTCCCACTGGTATTACTGATCATATTGCCCAAGGTAGAAACTTCTCTTGAAATGAATTTCAGCATTTAATGGTCCAACGTATGTATAAACTTTATTTGATGACCTTTTCTACTGAGTATCATCTGAGTGTTCCACCATCAGCCTGAACACAGCATGTTCATTCATTTGTTTCTTCATTCAACATTTTTTTTAGGTTCAGTCTGTTAAAAGATAGAGAAATATAAAGATAAATTACTAGTATGTCCCAATAATGGAAAATACTAAGTGAGGTGGAATATCTAAGAAGTGGTAAATTGTGCTCAGAGAGGCCTTAAAAAGGTTACATTTATTAGGCTGGTCTTAAAGTCTTTTAGCTTCTTTGTAATGTGAGAAAAATAATAATTACCTGCCTTACAGAACTATTGTCAAGTGAAAAAAAATCTATGTGAAATGCTTTGTAAAGTTTGTGTAAATATTAGCTTTGAAGATTATATAAGTACAACATCATCATTTTGGATTAAGGCCTGGATTTGATTCACATTTACTGGCTATGTGACTTTCAGCAAGTGATTGTAATTTTTGATCCCTTCAGTTTCTTGATCTATCAAGTGGGGATAATGCCTCTTTGAAAGAACGTTTGGAATGAGATGAAATAATCAGACGAACACCTGGCAAGTAATAGGCTCCCTCAAATGTTAATTTCCTTCCTTCCTTTAGTCTAGTTGCAGTGAAAGGTGAGGAATTAGAAACAGAAAATGCAGGTCTGCAATTCCTTGTCTAAAAAGCCTAATATCCAAAATGCTTTGAAAGCAAATGTTTTTTAAATAAACAGGCGATAAAGTCTGACATGAACTCATTTCAAACCCTGAGCTAAACATAAGGTTTGTCTTTATCTTAATATGGTTTTTCCTAAATTTTGTTGTAGAAATACTGTTTTTGCTCTTTGCTGCTCTGAACTTTGGAATGGATAAATATTAAATAATACAAGGACTATATACACTATAATATTTTTATAAAATCTGAGAATGTCTAAATTTTGAAACATTTCTGATTGCTAGGGTTTGGATAAGGGATTGTGGACCTCTATAGGGTATTCTTCAAAAATACTTGCTTTGAACCAAATATGGTAAGCCAGTAACAATAGGGAACAAACAAGGTTAAAGGAACATTTGGATTTTTCTTTCAGATGGGAGATGTTTGTAGCTATATATACACGTGTATAGGTTAAGGGGATGGGGGGATACAGTGGAAAGGGAGAAGTTGACTGTAGGTCAAGTGACGTTCCAGAGGATGCGGAGCAGTTTTAGGTAGGTCAGGATATCAAGTAGCCATTGGCTATATATGGCTGTTCAAATTTATCAAATCAAATTGAAAATCAGTTTCTTAGTTGTTTTGACAGCATTTTGGTTGTTCAGTGGCCACGTGTGTTAGTGGCTACTGTTTTTGGACTGCAGATATATAACATGCTTATCATTACAGAAAACTATATTCGATAGCACTGCTTTAGAGCAAAAGTAAAGGGGTACTTTCAGAAGAGACCAGAGAGAATGGAAGTTGAGATAATTTAGATACTTTAGTGGATGAAAGTTGTTGAGAGACTTAATCCTCAGCTGCTTTGTTTTTTCCTGAATGGTTGGAAATAAAGACATCCAATTACAACTGGCCCTTGGACAATATTAGGTTTGAACTGTGCAGGACCATTTATACAAATCTCCCTATAAATGGACACACACAATTTAAACCCATGTTGTTCAAGGGTCAACTGTAGTCAGAAGGGGCAGGAGGTGGGCAGATTAGAATGGTTACAGTCATTTCATCCAAAGGCAGCTGTCCTTGTCCCTCATTGCATCTCTCCATTTTTCCCGTTTCTCAAGTTCAAATCCATTCTACTTGTATTCTAGCCTTGTAATTACTTGCATTAGCAAATCCCATTCCATGTTACATAGTTTCTTTTTCAAATAAAAGCTAATATAATAAAAGCTTAGGAATCCTCCCACAGACCACAGCAAGGTCCCACTGGACCTGCAAGGCCTGTGTTTTACAATCTCCAGAGCAGTTGTTGATCCGTCTGCTGTTCTGCTTTCTCACCCCTTCTCTAGTCTAGATTGCAGCGCTTTGGCTGCTCTCCACATGGACCAGCAGAGCGGCCTCCTTTGCTGGCCTCGCTGCTGTTCCCCCATACTAAGACACCTTCCCCTTTGGGTTAAGTAGAACTACTTGCCCCTTTAGTTCTGCTTTCTAAGAATTTAAAGTTATTCAATGTAGAGAATTCATAGTAGAAATTCATAGTAGAAAGTATTCCTTCATAATTATTATGACACTTATAGTTAATTACAGTTAGACTTAAATCAGTGCTGTTTTTCATTCTTATTCCTTCCAGCTCTGTATAACCTTCTAAGTAGTAAATCATGCTATACTCCCTGCACAATACGGGATGTTTTCATTTGACTTTTTAAGTGTAAAAAATTCTCCCTAACATTCTGTCTGATTGATGTTTTCATTACTTGTCACAGAATTTCAGAACATGAAAAAAGTATTAGACCTGGAAGGAACTTTAGGAATTGATTATATATTATACTTCTATATTTCACAGTTGAGAAACTAAGATTCAAAGAAGCTTAGTGATTTGCCCAAGGACATTCACTAATTGTTGGCAGAGTATGAATGAGAACCTAGGGTTTCTGACTACTAATCTAGTATACACTATCTAAATATTTTAAAATATTATGGTGAAGGGAAATGAGTCCCATAATTACCCATTACTAGTGAAATACAGAGTGCTTTTTTAAAACAAAAATATAATTATACTGTTTTTTCTTTGCTTTTTTTTTTGTAAAGAAAATTTTGCTTTTCAACAGTGGTATAGTATTAGAACTAATAAGGAGAAACTTAAATGTTCTTTGTATCAATACACTATACTTTGTATTAAAATACTAAGTGATTATGGTTGAAAGCATTTAATGTATTAAAATAAATGATTATGGTTGAAAGCATTTAATGTCTAGTTAAATTGCTTAAAAATTCTGATTATTCAGTGGGACCTTACTGTTGAGTTCCAGAAAAATATGACTTATCAAAAATTATTTAAAAAAAATAATCATAATTAAAATGTGCCCAATTTGTATGTCTTATTAAAAACCTCTTTGAAAAATAGTACTTTTGGAATAGTGTGTCAGATTTTAAGTAGTTGTTCATTGAATGTTGTGTTGGCATTTGCTCTTTTCTTTAGAACTGCTTATAATAGCCTTTTTTGCTGGTTATACATTTTATAAAGTATCTTCAATATTTGGTCTTGCCAACCAATATTAAGAGTAACAACTTGCATGTGTTTCAACAGTATTTAACTCTTTGATAATATGTATTCATACTTTCTTTTGGAGATATAAAGAATAAATGCTGGTTTCCCAGTCAAAATCATAGTTGCTGCTTTCTTTTGCCTCAGTATTGCATTTATTAGACCTAAGTGAAAATGATAAATACTTTGCTTAAAAGGCTATGTTTTATACTTTTTAGTAAGCTATTTTCAAGTATTTTTGTTTAAATACAAAGATGGTAAAATAATTTTTAATAATAGCTGGAGTTGTGTATAGATTGTGGTTATGGGAACATTTAACTATGGAAATACTACCAAATAAAAGCCATACTGGATCAAGTTTTATTCATTTGTCACTAGTAGAATATACTTGTTTATATAAACACTTTGCAGTTTAAAACACTAACATATTAATGAGTCGTTTATGCTGGTGTGTATTGTTTTCTGTTCTTCTGGTATTGTTAGTTTTTAATTTCTTGATGTTAATTTTAGATTTTAGAAATAAAAACTTGAAACTGTGAGCTAAGTTGATTTGGTTTTATAATTACGTTGGGAAATTATAGTACTTTTGGAATGGTGGTAATAATTTGATCCTTTTTTCACTTAATTCTATTTTTATTATGGGTAAGGGGCATTTATAAAATTTAGTTGCTTTGCATTTATTCAACTCTTTATTATTATGTATTAACTGTTTGTTGTTTTAGGACCTGATCCCAGGCTTGAAGAAAGTCCTAAAAGAAAAAGTATTACATATGAGGAATTAAGGAATAAGAACAGAGAGTCATATGAAGTAACTTTAGCACATAAGACTGACCCCTCAGTCAGGCCTATGCAGGAAAGAATACCCAAAAAAGAAGGTATGATAGTTTAGTCTAATCACTGTATTCTGTAGGATTGGATATCGCAGCATTAGTTACAAAAATTAGTCGTGTTAACATGATTTAATTCTACAAGCAATTAACTAAAATAGTATATTTTTTTAAAAAAGAATTGCTATTTCAGTTACCATATCTTGCATTTTTAAGGTATTGTAAAGGCCATTTTGTGTTAGAAAATTAAGTCAAAATGGTAGTATGACTTAAGATAGTAAGACTAGTTTTGTAATATAATGTAAGAATTATACATCCAGTTTGACTGTTTTTTCTTATAAGAACTCAAATTGGAAACCACTTTTTTAAATAATACATCTATTACATAAAACCAGATCTGGTGATCTAAGGTTGATAATTGGGTTGTAATGCCACTTTTGGCAGAGCCACAGAATCGTGATTAATGAAACTAATTTTCTTAGTGAAATTGAAATAGAGTTATATGCTTACAAAGCAGCTTTAGGACATTTTCAAAGAGGAGTTTGACCTTCTTAAAATAGTACTTTTACTCTGTAATTAATTATAAGTTTTAAAATCTCAGTTTCTTTTCTTTTTAAAAAAAAATTCTTGTTGGTGAGTGTGCTGCAGATGTCCCAGATCACTATTTCTTCTAGGTCATTTTGGAGCAGTTATTCAATACCCCAAGTAAATTTTCTGACACAGAAGTTTACTTATAACGGAAGAAGGGGTTTTAATTAAGGGTTTGTAGCTATTTTAATATAGAATTGTATGTCTTGAGGAATTTTAGAGAATGTGTCATTGTTTCAAGGTTTCTATTTACTACTTTAAAAATTGAAGGAACAGGTTTTTGGTACCTTAAAAAAAAATTTTATTCTTGAAAATATTACCTGTGTCTTCTTTTTTCTCCCATTGGCCCCGTAGAGCCTGCCCCCTGCCCCAGGCCTCCACCACGTATTGTCTCTGGCCATACATTATGTATTATGCATACAAGTTGTTTCCCACCCACCCAGCCACTCCCCCCGCTTCCCTCTAAATTTCCACAAGCTTGTTCTTGGTACCTTCTTGAGAGTCATAGGCCACAAAGAATGTAAAGATACATAACAGTTCTTAGTACAGGAGGTCCTCAGTTTATGTTGGAGATCCGTTCCTGCGGAGCGACGTAACTCGATTTTCGCTGTAAGTCGAGCCCACCTACATAAGTATCTACGTCACTCCCAAGGAGCACATACACAGCAGTAATGAAGTGAAACTAAAAAAATTTAAAAGAAAGAACAATTCCTGACCTTTACTTGTGGTAAATAAGTAATTTAAAAAACATGAAACACATATGTACATATTATAAGTTGAACTTTTTTAAAGTAAATAAATGGGAGATAGCAACATAACCACAAAATGGTGTTCTTTGAGTCCAACATAACTCGAGGACTGCCTGTACTTTTTATTGTAATCATTCTTTTAGAGCTAAATTTATTTCTAATTGGTAATGGTTACTGCCTTTAGAATTCTATTTTTTTATTAATGATGGATAATATATATTACATTATTGATGTTAAAAATTTAGCTTTAAAATAGGCTGATAATTGACATTGTTAATGTTTGTCATTAAAAATAAACTGTGTAAACCTTATGCATCCAATAGCCACTACTTTGTACTTTACATAGTACTTTACTGGTACTTGGTTCTGCTAATTAACTTGAGGATTTAGACCAAGCATGTCAAACTCCAAGCCCATGGGCTGGATGCCTTGTTTATTTGGCCTATGTTAGCCTTTGAGTTTGACATGCTTGATTTAGATTGTAAGCTCCATAAGGGCAGACGGTAGTACTTTTCTCCGTTTTGTAGTCTTTTATGTCTGCATAGCATAGTACCATATGCTGGTAAATCAGAAATGGAGTGTTTCATTGGGCTTTCTATAGTAATAAAGATTAAGAAAAAGAAATATGGTAGATCTTTGGTATTTGCTAAATTTTGACATTTGTGGTTTTGACTGTAAACAGTCTTTTAAACTTGTTACATGATACAACTTTAATATGAAATAGTTTATAAAAAGAAAGGTGATTTTTGTGTGCTTTATTTGAAGATTATTAGTTATTAAATAGTTTTAGTGGTTTTCTAGCATGTTCTATAATCTAGACAGGATATTTGATGTTAGTACAGTGTGGAGTTGCTGGAAGTATCACTTAAATTTTTCAGTTTCAGTTTCTATGGATGACATTTATTTAATTAGAAATTAAGACTGAGAGATTTTAAAAACATTAACGCTTATCTTTCAGGATCATGATAGCACCACACATGCAGCTTCTAGAAAACTTTACCTTGTACTAATGAGGGAATGAAAGCAAGGGGAAATGACAAATTATGAGGGAAAGGGATATATAATGTCTTAGTATAATAATGAAATATAGTTTTGGCTTTATAGAATATCTGAAAGTCTTGAGGAAGGAGGTTCCTAGTCCATACTTAGATAAAAGCTTCTTTACATTATGACTACTTAAATTTATAGATGAAGGCTATGTAAAAGAGAGACTAAAAGGTGAAAGAGTACAGAAGACGGGCATATTTCAAAATACAATTTTATGTAAAATGCAGGAATATTGGGAACTTTCCTCCTTGCCACCAGTATCATGACTCATAGGAGAGAAGATTGAATTAACCATAACCTGAATATCTGACCATTTTTACTGCTATAGTTTTTGTGAAAAACAAAATTTAATTTTTTAATTATTATTTTTTAAATTTTCCAGTAATTTTTTGTACATGCTGTAATTTATACCATACTTACTTAGGTAGAAGGTAAAGTAATGGTACCCAGGCTTTGGACCTATGCTGATGTGTTCACATTTCAGTCTACTTGTTTTATTAGGCATGTATAATACCTTGGGCAAGTTACTAATCTGTTTCCTCTCCTTCAGAATGGGAGTTATGTTTAGAAGATTGTTAGGAGGATCATATATTTAAGTCAAGTTCTCCACACATTGCATTACTATTTATGCCCAACCTCCAGTTCACCAAAGTCTGCCAGCCCCTTTTTAATCCTACTCTCGTGTGCATTTATTAAAATGAGAAACATAACTTTTCATCATAATAGTGAACTTAAAATAATGCCTTTCTATGCATTACTAGTTGGAATCATCAATTATTTGTGCTTTTTTCCTAGTCAAAGTAAACAAATACGGAGATGCTTGGGATGAGTGAGACATTGCATCCTTGGACCTACTGAAGGAGTTTCAATATCCAGCTTCATCTAGGTGATCATATCTGCATGCTTTGACATCAGCAGCAGTCTTCATAAACACATTTAAAATCTGAACCTGGGCTTTTTGTGGTTTGGCTTATTAAAATAGTGTTTAAAAAACAAATTTTATTATTACTATGTTGTGAATCTATATGAATAATGGTATAATTCCACGATCGTGTACAGTTTGTGAAATTTAAGTTACAGGACAAGGATACTCTTAGAAAACCATCAAGGAATTGTAATGCTCTAGAATTAGCATATGTGAAAATAAATATTTGCATGTTGAACTGGGATGGGGGGGAACAGGCATAATTTTAGGTGATTAGCTTTACATTAAGCCTTTTTCCAGTGTTTGCTGTATTCTCTTAATGTTTGTGGTAAATAAAATATAAAGGAACGTGCATTTTCATTGATTTCATGGTTTTATTGTTTGCAATCTATTTTTAAGTACAATTATAAGTGTTGTTTTGTAGAGATAGGAAATAAAGTAATTTCTGAATATTTAATATTATAAATATAACTTGTGGATTAATCAACTACAGTAAATGGCTCAATGCAGTGGTCATGTTCAAAGACTTTGCAAATTTCAGGGGAATAAAAATTTGGTATACTTTTTTTATTATGGTTGTTCCTGGTTCAGGTGAATGGAAAATGAAATTGTGGTTTCATCTACATTTTTATTTATATTACAATTCTATCAGAAACTGTGTTTCTGTTTTGGATAATGCAAATTATCCTAAAACCTGGCTCAATTTATCAGGATTATCACTCAGCAAGTTACATAATGTCTAATATAACCCAGTGTACTGGGTTGTACACAAACTAATAAAATAGTATTGTATGTCAACTGTAATGGAAAAATAAAAAAATATTTTTTAAATATTGTTTTTTTTCTATGGGTTGGGATTTAAGGATTTCAGCTGAGTGATTTAGCTCTTGGTCTCAGATTTGCGGTCAGATGCTGGATGGAGCTGAAACAGCAGGGAGCTAGAGCAGCTGGGCCTGGCAGGGCATCTCTCTTATTTCCAGGATCTTGCCATGTTTCTTTCCATGGATTAGTGTGGGCTCTTCACAACAGTGCGCTCACAGCAGTCACTGTACATGATCACTTAGGGCTCTAGTGTGAGTGTTCCAGCTAGTATGTTATAATAAAAGCCCCATTGCCATTTATTTACTACCCAGACTCAAGTCAGCATTTCTGCACAAGCCTGCATATCAAATGGCAGGAAGGAAAGACTTCCACCATCCTCACGTTTTTAAAATAACGTGGGATGGAACATTTTGCAATAATTCACTGCTCCCACATGCATAGTCTATTCACAGCTTTTTCCAGGAACTCTTAATTTGAATCCCATTTTATCAGCTCAAAATCTAGGAGCTGCACATCTAATCAAGTCCAGGTATGGATGAGGCACTTGGACAAAAGTCTGAAGACCTAGGAACTTATGTTCTGGCCGGTGTGGCTCAGTTATGTGTAATCCCATGCACTGAAACGTCTCCAATTTGATTCCCAGTCAGGGCATGTACCCAGGTTGCGGATTTGAACTCCAGTGGGGTGCAGGAAGAAGGCAATTCAATATTTCTCTCACATCATTCCTCCTCCTCCCTGTCCAAAATCTATAAAAACGTTAAAACACAACACCTGTGAACTTGAAAGAGAGGTTCTCTGCCCTGCCCTGTTCAACCTGAATATCAGCCCAACGACCTGTTAGACATAGTATTACTATTCTAAACATCCCTTCTTTAAAAAAAATGAAAGGGTACCGGCCAGTCACTTGGCCAGCTCACGTTGCCAGTTCTGTGACTAGGGCTAAGGCGTACCCCCCCAGGGCTCGTCATGGCTTGTGGTCCCACCTTTCCCATGAAGTAGGTAGCTCATGCTTGCCACTGACTGGTTTTCCTAACCTGCCCAGAGAAATTGAGGACCCCAAGTCCTGCTTATACTACCCCTGTTCCAACCGGTATATTTTAAATCTGTGGAGTTCTCAAGTATCAACTGAAAATCCATTTCACAAAAGCCACCCATGTCTACTGGAAACAGTCCCCTTTTTTGTTCCTTGTGAAGCTCATAAGCAATGTCCCTAAGATTCTTAGAAGCTTTGGGCAGGTCTACAAGGTTATTCCTAAGATGTGTAGAGGGTCATTTGTGTGTCTGAACTGTCTGTTGTGGGGTGCACTGTCATTGTTCTGAGGTCTTGGAACAAAAAGTCATTACCCCACTCTGGATTTGATCTTTGCTAGAAGCCATTTCTAATATGAGAACCTTTTGCTGGTTTAAAGGACTGCTTTGGCCAAAACCAGTTTGGCTCAGTTGATAGAGTGTCGGCCTGCGGACTGAAAGGTCCCGGGTTTGATTCTGGGCAAGGGCATGTAACTTGGTTGCGGGCATATCCCCAGTAGGGGGTGTGCAGGAGGCAGCTGATGTTTCTCTCTCATCGATGTTTCTGACTCTGTCCCTCTCCCTCTCTGTAAAAAATCAATTAAAAAAAAAAATATATATATATATATATATATATGTGTGTGTGTGTGTGTGTGTGTGTGTGTGTGTGTGTAAAAATTAAAAGACTGTTTTGGACTTTTATATTTTCTCCAAATACTTGGAAATGACTTTTTTTTTTTTTTTTTTTTTTTTTTTTTTTTGCCTTCTCTCATTTTAGACAGCAGCCAAGTGGCACCCTCAGCACTGCCCAGAAATCTTAGCCAATCAAGTTCCTTAGGAAGATTTCTTATTTTCTGTGTTACCACAGGTGACAGTTTTGCTAAACTTGACTACATCTTCAGAGTCTCAGCTTCCAATATTTCCTCTCCTGTAATCCCTTCTTGACAGCCCATTGGAAGGTCCTTAGGCTTCTGTTAACACCCTCAACCAGGCCCTTCACTTTTTCACAATCTCCTCAAGGTCCTGCCAGCTTTTCTATGCCACTTGTTCCCACAACCACTGAGCTTGTTTGAGATTTTTGTTATGCCTGCAGGCCACTTCCAGCTATCCAGTTCCCGGGTTAGAGTTTGATTGAAAAGCAGAATTGCTCTGAATGATGCACAATAAGTGGTTTATTGTAGGGATTAGATTTTAGGCAGCTGTGGAACTGATGTTCAGTCTGCAAGCTAATGCCTCTGCATCTCAGTACCAGGCACGTTCTTATGTTCATAATAGAGACACAAATGGAAACAGAGGTCTCCTTAAGCCTGTGGTCGGCAAAGTGTGGCTCGCGAGCCACATTCAGCTCTTTGGCCTCTGGAGTGGGCTCTCCCACAAAATACCATGGCTTGGGCGAGCCTATTTTGAAGAAGTGGCATTAGAAGAAGTTTAAGTTTAAAAAAATTGGCTCTCAAAAGAAATTTCAGTCGTACTGTTGATATTTGGCTCCGTTGACTAATGAGTTTGCCAACCACTGCCTCAGGCCTAAGTTTGAAACTGGCACACCTTCATTTTTGCCTTACATTTTGCCTAAAGCAAATCATAGGACAAACCCAAGGTCAAGGTAAATATGCTCCACTCCCAACGGAAAGGAAATGCAAAAATTCCATGACAAAAGGCATGGATGTGAGGAGAGGTAGAGAATTGGACCAGTTATACAATCTGCAAGGACAGCAAAAGGGACCACGACTGCCCCTGAATTCCACCCCACACAGAACTGTTACCTTGCACTACAGCTATTTAGTACATATCTCCTCTCCTCAACTTATATATGAATGTACTCCTATTTCTTCTAGCACCTTGCCTGGCATAGAATAGTTTCTGAAAAAATAGTGTATTAATGAATGAAGCCATAAGGCTTGTGATGACAGCCGTGATTTTCAAAACCTTATTCAGGAAGGTTCCTTTTTGCTATTTCCCCACCATTGGACTTCTATCTTCCAGGTCCTTCCTCTTTTGTTACCTTCCCATCCCCATCCTCCTTCTTGACTTAAGCACATTTAGAGATGAGATAATCTAATGAACCAAACTACGATTTGAGGTTTGTATTTTATAATAAACTCTGCTTCTGCAAGCCAGTCATTCAATTAACAAGGATTGTTTGATCATGGGCCTTGAACACTATAAGAAACCAAAGGGGTAATCTGAATGTTTTCCAGTGCAGATGACACATCACCACCTGTTAAGTCCCAGATTTTGGACTGAAAAGGACAGATAGTTGGGCCTGAAATCAGGACCATGCAATGGAAAAGAGATAACTGTAAATATAATGAGTTACACTGAAATCCAGAATGACCTGCTGCATAAGCATAAATGGAGAGAATTGACTTAAAGGTAGGTCATGTGAAAAAGCCTAGCATGGGCCAAAAATGGAACATAATGACACATTTTTTTTTTGGACTGCAGTAGAAGTAGTAGTTAACATCCCTTGAGTAGCTGCTCTGAGCTATGCACAGTTCTAAGCATTTTGCAAGTATTAAGCTCATTTAAAAAGTATACTTTATTGATTTTTTATAGAGAGGAAGGGAGAGAGAGAGAGTCAAAAACATCCATGGGAGAGAAACATCGATCAGTTGCCTCCTGCACACCTTCCACTGGGGATGTGCCCACAACCAAAGTACATGCCCTTGACAGGAATCGAACCTGGGATCTCTCAGGCCGCAGGCTGACTATCCACTGAGCCAAACCAGTCAGGGCTTAACCTCATTTTATTCTCACGAATAACCTACAGGTAATTCTAAAATCTTCCCATTTTACAGATGGGGAAACTGAGGCCCAGAGCAGGTAAATAACATACGCAATGTTAGATAGCCAGTAATGGTGGGGCTGAATTTGAGCCCAGGGCCTAATGTAGAGTGCCTCTTGCTATCAGTCCAGGTGCCTAAAAGAAAAAACCTGGTCAACCCATTTCTGGAGTCTTGGTATGTGAGGACCTCACAAATATTTAAAGGCTGTTATGCAAAAGAAGGAGAATTCTGTTGTGTAGCCACAGGAAAATTACAAGTTTAGGCTGAGAAATATTTATGAAGTGCCTATGTCTGGCCAAGAATTCTGTTTGAGGGTGGAAACTGAGAAATGAGTAAAAAAGGATACACTTCCTGTCTCAAACTAAGCTGGGAGCTAGTCTTGAGGGGCAGGGAGGCAGACCTGGCTCCCACAGACCTTTCGGGTACTTTTGCACCTGGGCGGTGTACTGGGTTGCACATTGGAGCAGCAGGTGTCCTTCCCCTGAAGTACATATGTATGTAGATCTTGGAACCTCACCTGCCCAGACAGCAGAGGGGATTTCCGGTGTGTGGGAGGGTAAGTCAGGTCTCGAACCTCAGACTGGTGCTGAGAATATAAGTTTCAGGTAGATGTGGAATTTTGTTGGTTGTGCTCCCTGTCACATTCCCACTGACGTACCTAACACAGTGCCTGGAACACAGTAGGCAGCAACTGAACATAGGAAAGATCCAAGATTTACAAACCAGGATATTTCACATAAAACCTGTACTCATTTGTTTTGCAAATTGGAAGCTTTGACAACAGCGGGTGGCGTATTTGTGAGTGGAAGTGAAGGTTATGCCTGTTTTAACATGCACCAGCCCCGCTTCACAAAATCACATTATTATTGTGGTCCTGGACTTTGCAGCTGGTGGGTTAGTCACCGGCATCTCTGCCAACTCTGTCTACGGAATCAAACTCGACAGTTGAAATTTGGGTGTAGAGTTCCAAAGTTCTGTCAACGAAACAGATTGCATTATTTGAATATCATGAAAATTACCTACAGCACATTTTCATGGCTTAATCATGCCATTCAGGATTAATTTTATTACTTGCGTAATGTTTACAGAAAAGAGAGAGAAATCGTCCATTCTGACAGCAAGAAAAGAGAATATCTTTGCTTCAATGAGAATTTTAAAAATAGATAGGCATTATATACAGTACATCTTTTTTCTTTTTCTTTTTTTTTTTCACCATGAAGGTGCTACTTTCACAAGCTGATGACCAGCGTGATGATGAGTGTGGTTGGTAATTGCTACATGCTAAACAGCAAATGCTGCTCCTTTAACACATCTTCCTTTAAGAAACAGACATTGGCCGAGACTGGTTTGGCTCAGTGGATAGAGCCTCGGCCTGAGGACTGAGAGATCCCGGGTTCGATTCCGGTCAAGGGCATCTACATTGGTTGCGGGCACATCCCCAGTAGGGGGTGTGCAGGAGGCAGCTGGTTGATGCTCCTCTCTCATCAATGTTTCTAGCTCTCTATCCCTCTCCCTTCCTCTCTGTAAAAAATCAATAAAACATTTTATATATATATAAAAAAAGAAACAGACGTTGTTCCCCCGATACTTGCTTCCTAATGTATACAATAGATAATGAAGCCAAATGTTTGAGAGTTCTTAGATGACCACCTAGGTTTTCTTTTTCTTTATAGATCTCCTTTCACATGGAGGTCACTGTGAAAAAAACTGCTTCCATGAACAGCTTACTGATGTTGCAAAAGCAAAGAGCCCAATGTGATGCAGAACTGTGAAGATTATCAGCAGTAAAAACACTGTGCCCTTTCAACAATAATACATTGACCTTTCCCGATACCCCGAGACTGATTCCTGCATGGACTTGCTGTGCTTAGTCGTGTGAGAGGGTTCTGACCCCTGGGAATACTTTTCTGGAATGCAGGATATAAATGTGCCCAAATCTGATTTTTTTTTTTTTTTTTTTTTACCAAAAGCAGAGATAACAAAGAGTCACCAATTGCTAAGTCAGAGCCAAGAATTAAACTGCATCCAAGAAGCTAGGATATTGGATCTGCGATCTGACTTACAGAAGGAGAACTTTATCGACGGAGACACAAGGAGATGTGTACTACTACATGAAGAGATAGTCACACTTCACTCCATTTCTCACACTTAATGTTCATGTGAAAATAGAAACTTGCCAATATTTTTGATGTTTAAAATAAAGTATTTCATATCAAGTATTAACTGCTGGTGAGGTTCCCCTTTTTACCTCTATGGTGCAGATTTCAAGATGTATTACACAAAACACTAATATGTATACACATGTGCCCAATATATAAATGGTGACACACATATAAAGCACTTTTCTGAGAAAATGCAAAAATGCAAGAGACATTTTTAAGTAGGACTCAGACAGCCTGCCATAAAACAAAAGGTCCCCGATGGAAGAAGTTGTTTTGTTTGTTGTTGTTGTTGTTTTTAAATAAAACACTTCTGGCAATAAATAGGAATCCAACTCATGGGGTTGAATTGGCTGCTTCTGATCTGCCTATACCCTTAAAAGTTCACCATTCTCTGCATTAATTCTTCCCATGATTCCTCCCACAGCAAACTGTTCCATGGGAGAAGAAGGGACCATGTGGGAAGTTGTGTTTATTCTGTTAGGCCACTAGCGGTATATAAACTAACCCAGCACTCGAGTGATGACTATACGCGTGTACCCAATGACTTAGCAAAACTCCACCAAACCGATAAGGCATAAAGCCACCGAGGTCACTGAGAGGACAACTGACCCACACTGTGACTCTCTGAAGTGACGTGTTTCCCATTAAGTGCCCCACATACCTATAAGAAGCAATCTGTCTTTGCCCTGTGTTTCTCTCTCCGTGCACAATGGTTTTTGGTGGGGTCTAACTTCCCATTCTCCTCAATCTTCCTTCCTGTCCACTTTAAGAGATTTTTTTTTTAAATATATTTTATTGATTTTGTACAGAGAGGAAGGGAGAGAGATACAGAGTTAGAAACATCGATGAGAGAGAGTCATCGATCAGCTGCCTCTTGCACACCCCCTACTGGGGATATGCCCGCAACCAAGGTACATGCCCTTGACCGGAATCGAACCCGGGACCCTTCAGTCCCCAAGCCGACGCTCTATCCATTGAGCCAAACCGGTCCCGGCTCACTTTAAGAGATTTTAAAACCCAGAAAGAAAGCAGAAAGAAAGAACGGATGGGGAAAATTAGAGAGGAGTTGACATTCTTTTACTTCACCGTATGCAAGTTAGAAACAACATAATCTCTTTTTCGGTGTGTGAATTCTCCCACCACGTTCACACACAGTAGAAAAACATACACTCAATTCTTCTGCAAAAAGCATTTTGATGGAGAGAATCACGACATTTCCGTTCCGCGGTACGCTATCTTCCAGTACGCCTGAAACTGTAGTGTGTGCAAACTCAGAGGTTGAAGAAACGTCAAAAGCCACAGAGTCTAGGAAGCTGAAGGCTGTGAACTTCGCTCCTCGCTTAATCCATGCTTAATTTTGCACTCCTCACAGGTAAGCAGGCAGTGCCTAGGACAGAAGCAAAAAGAGAGGTTTGTGCTGCAACACTGGAAGCTCTAGTCTTTTTAAAAATATATATATTTTATTGATTTTTTACAGAGAGGAAGGGTTAGGGAGAGAGAGCCAGGAACATTGATGAGAGAGAAACATCTTTCAGCTGCCTCCTGCACACTTCCCACTGGGGATGTGCCAGAAACCAATGGGAACTTTAATCGTAACAGCTGACTGAGAGACAGTTTCCTATGCTGATGCCCACAGGCCCGTTGTTGGAGGGAATAATAGGAGCTGCTTCTTGGTTAGAGACTGCCAGAATGCCACACAAGAACAAGGCCAATAATGATCATACCCAATGTTTTTTTGTGTGTATTTTTTCCCCGACAGTACCATGCTGCCTCTCACATAGAACCCACTGTGACAAGTGAGGGTCTTAAGTGAATGTGTCCCCAGCACTAGGTAGAAACAGCTATTACTCTCTGAGTGTCATGTAATTTCTCTTCCTTATTACAATTCCCTGAAAACAATTCTGCTCACCATTTTAGACCGTTGAGAAACCTGAAGACTGGAGAGTGGAAGAAACATTTCCAAGATGACATGCTTTATTTAATAAGAGGAACAACTGGTTTTCAACCCAGGTGTCCTAACAGTGGAGGCAATGCCTTTACCTCCAGGGTCCTACTGGGTACATCCCCTAATGAGAACCACGCTATGGACAGTGTGTTAAAGGCTCAGTAAAGGCTCTGAGAAGTCCTGCAGTAAAAAAACCTGTCTAAATGCGGCATAACCCCGTGACGGTAGGAGCCGTGTCTGCCGACGAAGGTATTCTTTTCAGACTTGCACAGTGCCTTGAGCATAGGAGAGACTCACTACATGTTTGTTAAGCAAATGATATAAGAAACTAAGTTAAATAATAAGTAATTATGATTGAAGTCGAATAGCAAGAACTTAAAATGTGAGGTTTAAGGAGGTTTAAAAAAATTTTTTTTTTACCCTAGCATACAGATGTTAAGAAAAACTGTTTAATATTATAAACGGTGAATCATCTTTCATTTACCTTTATATAAGTATCTGCATTACAATCCCCCAATCAAACAGATTACACACCTGTTGTGCCCTGGACCAAAACCAGCCCCACGTAGCTGATCATCAAGGGAATGGAATTTACTTTGGCAGACTCCTATGTACGATGCCTTTCCCAGGCCATATCCCAGGATACCAGCGACTGTAAAGGCAGGTGAGGGAAGACAGATCATAGAAAGGGTCAGAATCTCCTCCCTTAGGTATCTTCTAGAATCTTCTTTATTAACAGTAGTAACTTTAATATTAAAAGTGCCACGATACTTTCAACAATAAAGACAACATCTTTTTTAAAAAGCACCACGGCAGATCCACGGACAAGCACTCTGGGGATGAAGCTCCCTCTTCCAGAGCAGGATTGGGACCGGGGGACTTTCTGGCTCTGTTTTGAATTGGTGGTAGAAGGACCAGGACAGAGCAAGCAGAGGTGTGACCCCGGGCCAGGGCCAGGGCCAGGCAGCCAGAGGCCCCAGGGAGGGAGGGAGTTATGGTTTCTCCGAGTCACCGAGTCACCGGGTAGGAAATTCTCCTTATGGACTGGAGTTTGGGGAGCTGCAGTCCATCCCGCCTGTGGGGGAGAGAGTTCACGAGGCACAGAAAGCCTCTCAGGGAAGGAATCTTCAACCTGCTCCTCTCCCTGGGAATGAAGTTTCAGGCTACACGTGGGAAAGCATCCTTTTTGTACAAAGCAGGTCGATGTATTACGAGTGGAAAAGACGAAACCCTGGATTTACGGTTGGTATATTATTAGAAAGTCCCTGATTTTAAAAAGTTATTCATTTATTTTTACTACAGAAGATATTTGGAAAAGACCGGCCAAAAGAAGGAAACTTCAGCCCCTAATGGATCTATCTTTCTGAGGCTCTCCTGGGCCCTGCCAGGCGTGCCTCGTCCCGCTTTAAAGAGGACTCTCCCAGGGCTCAACCTGATACCAGGAAGTGCTGAATGAACAAAGACTGTAAAGTGGAAAAAAAAAAAAAATAGACTGATTTTTCAAAAAGGCAATGCAGGCGACTTGGTTAAACTGGACATTCATATCTCCAGCTGCTATGAAAATCTATTAAAAATAATTTTTTACTTCTCTGACTTACGTGCAACTTTAGGCAAAGATCCAAATCTTGGGTTAGCTGCTAAATAACCTATGGAGAAATATATACATTATTATTTCATTGTATTACTTATTTAAATTCATAAAGCATAAGGAAATCTTTAAAATTTAATATATACGCAGTTTCTTTAACTTTCACCTGAGGATATGTTTTTTATTTATTTATTATTGATTTTAGAAAGAGGAAGGGAGAGAGAAAAACAAAACAAAACACATCGATTGGTTGCCTTCCGTATGCACCCCAACCAGGGACCAAATCTGCAAGCATTTGGGATGATGCTCCAACAATTGAGCCACCTGACCAGGGCTACATAGATTTTTATTTTTTTTAATTTTTTTTAATTGATTTCAGAGAGGAAGGGAGAGAGAGAGATGGAAACATCAATGATGAGAGAGAATCATTGATCAGTCGCCCCCTGCATGCCCCCGACTGGGGATTGAGCCCACAGCCCTTGCATGTGCCCTTGAAGGGAATCGAACCCAGGTCCACAGTCTGATGCTCTATCCACTGAGCCAAGACAGTCAGGTCGCTACATAGATTCTTAATCAGAAGAGATGATCCTAAAAGAGTTATAATTCAATCCTTGATTGATTGAATTTAACTCTCAAATAGCCAATGTTTCCAAGTAGCAAGTGTTAGCTTTAATGTATAAAAAAAGAACATGAAACAGACAATTCAAGACTTGTTTAAAGATATCAGTGCAAAGATGGAGCCAACAACTTATTTCCAGCTATTAGTCACTGTTGCCGCCCATTTTATGTACCTTAACAGAGAAATTCAATGTAAGGATGCACACTTATCAACGTCATGCCTCACTTATCAAAGGAGGTACATTATAAGAAATGCATCATTATGCCGAAACCCATTTGGCTCGGTGGATAGAGTGTCGGCCTGTGGACTGAAGGGTCCCGGGTTCAATTCCGGTCAAGGGCACATCCCCAGTAGGGGGTGTGTAGGAGGCAGCTGATCGATGTTTCTAACTCTTTATCCCACTCCCTTCCTCTCTGAAGAAAGTCAATAAAATATATTTAAAAAAGAAAAAGAAATGCATCATTAGGCAATTTCATCATTGTACAAACATCATGGAGTGCACTCACACAATCCTGGATGATACAACCTCCCACATACCTAGCCCGCATGGCACAAACTATTGCTCTGAAGCTACAAGCCTGTACAGCATGTTATTGTACAAAGCTCCACGGGATTAAGTCAAACTCAAGAGAAAGTGATGCAATCAGGAGACATGGTAAACACAAAATGCTTGAGGCTGCTGCTGGCATAACAGCATGTTGTTTTACAGCACATTTTTTTTTTTTTAAATAAGGAGAAGAGGACACTCTACAACAATGATAAAAAGTATAGTCATTACATAAGCCAGTAGCATAGTCATTTATTATCATTATCAAGTATTACATTCTGTCCAAGTTGCAGAGGCTATAGTTTTATATGACAGGCAGTGTAGCGGGAGTGATTACACCAGGATCCCCTCAGATAGCTGAGAAATTATTGCCTTGTGCTTCGACGTTACCATGGCTATCACATCACCAGCCCACAGGAATTTTTCTGCTCCGTTATCATCTTATGGAAGCCCCATTTTGCTATTTGACACATGATTGTATACGTACCACAATTTTTAAATAAAAACTTTACTACTGTGATAGGCCAGAATAACGGCCTCGTAAAGGAGTCCCTATACCCCGGGGAACTGTGAATGTGTTACAATTGCATGACAAAGGGGAATTATGGTAGGCAATGGAATTAGGGTGAATCAGATGACTTTAAAATAGGAAGATTATCCTGGATCATTTGGGTGTGTGTGGAGAGCAGCTACAGCGTTTGGACAGGTTCAAGCCTGGGACTAATGAGAGGGCACATCCTCTCATGGCAAAGCCACGTGCAAGTCCCAGCACAATAATAGCCAAAGGCTATAGCTGTCAGCTTAACCTTATGGCCCAAAACTGTGGTCCCACATAGCTGAGTGATATGGGCTGCGGGAGATGCAGCAAGTAAACAAAGCTTGATCGGGTGCATGTAACTGAGTAGATTTGAAACCCACGAGAATGTTGTAACCATGCCTTTACTTTGCCTCGTGGAATCTGACTATAAAATAAAGACTTGACTTGTAGGCCGTGGCGCTGTCTCTCCATCAGAGAGCCGTGTCCCACCTGGACCCAGCTTTAGTCTCTTGTCTGTCTTTTCTAAATCCTTCACTGCCTCCCTCTCAAGTTCACTCACAGCTGTGCCGACTTGGCACAGGTGGGCCCAATGTAATCACAATGACCCTGGAATGTAGAAGAGGAATTCAGAGGCAGACCCAGACAGATGGCGGTATGAGAAGACCTTGGCTTTGCAGGCAGAGGAAGGGGCCAGGAGCCAAGAAGAACTGTGGGTGGTGGTCTTTAGAAGCTGGGAGGGCAAAGGAAGCCCGAGGGCCCCCCAGCAAGGAGAGCAGCCCTGGGGACACTTTGATTTCAGACCAGGGAGACCCATATTGAACATCTAACCTCCAGAACTGTAAGGTAATACATTTGTACTGTTTTAAGTCACTATGTTTATGTTAATTTGTTATAGTAGTCTTAGAAAACTACTGCACAGCCCTGGAAAAGTATATTTGTGTACATGCCAGAGATGATAGATTTTGAGAACTCTTAACATTTGTAAGATACTAGAGGCCCAGTGCACAAAATTTGTGCATGGGCAGGGTCCCTAGGCATGGCCAGTGATCAGGGCGGATCTGTGGGCAGCCAGCAGGGTGATTGGAGGGCCCTCTCTGGCAGTTGCTTTGATTGTCCTGGGGCCTGCAGGATGGGGACAGCTCCTGCCCCCTGGTGGTCAGTGTGTGTCATATCAACAGGTCATTCCACTGGTTGTTCTGCCATTCAATTTGCATATTAGGCTTTTATTATATAGGATAATTCCCATAATGGCATGACTGTATTTCTCTGTTGTCAAAAATGGTCTGACAAAGACTCATTACTTTTTGATATATTCCCATAAAAAGGCTATCTTCATGTTATAAAAATGAAATCATATTGAGTAAATCAACGTAAATCCTTAAGAGAAGAATAATATTGACTGAAATGGGATTCTCCTAGAGAAATGACACATGTGGTCTCTGAGACCCAAAATAGAACTGAAACATCTCTCATGTTTGCTGGGCACAGATACTCTCTAAAATCCTGGCCATCAGCCATGCTCAAAGTAATGGGCTTGACAGGGTCAGATGCCTTCTTGCTATTTGGGAACTAGACAATGCCTGTGGGTTCTCTGGTAGACGGAGACAGGAAAAAAGAAGGGAGCAAGGAAGGAGAACTAGAGAGGTAAACTGGAAAACTAAGAGGCAGGGAGAGGTTGTGTGGGGAGGTGCGGGCGCCGGCGAGTCCTCGTGACCTGCTGTGCAGATTAGACAGGGTGCCCTGATTCGGGGGAATGCAGCCTCTCGCCAGGACAAACGGCTTGATGGACAGAACTTGGTGGATTTCAGCTCCATTTACCTCCTCCACGGAGCGTCCTTGCGCAGGGCACAGTCTGTCTAACATGCACTGAGCCCCTGGGAGAGGCAGGGACTCTGGTATAGAGAAAGGCACTGTATCAGTTTCCTGTGGCTGCTGAAACAGCTCACCACAGACATGGAGGCTTAACACAACACGCATCAAGCTTACAGCTCTGGAGGTCAGGGCTCAAAATGGGTTTCCCTGGGTGTGTCAGTCTATGGGGGCTGCACAAACAAGACTTGGGGGGGGGAGGGCTTATAAATGATAGACGTGGATTTCTCAGCCTCAGTCCTGGAGGCTGACGTCCAGGATCAGGGTATCCTCAGGGCTGGCAGGCCCCTCTGGATTTGCAGACTTAGAGCAAACCATTCTGGAGGGCTCCACCCTCAGGGGCTAATGGCCTCCTAAAGACCTCAGCTCCTTTAGGGTCTTAACGTGTGAACTGGGGGGTGGGGCACAAACATTCAGGCCTCAGCAGCTAAAATCAAGCCGCTGGCAGGGCTGCTTTCCTTGCCAGCTCCCAGAGGCCACCCCATTCCTGGTCTCTGGGCTCCTGCCCCCTCTTCTGCCAGCAAAGCCAGCAGTGTTGAGTGAGTCCTTCTCATGCTGCTGTCTCGCTGGTTCTGTCTTCTGACCCAAATATATATATTTTAAATATATCTTTATTGATTTCAGAGAGAGAAAGGAAGAAGGAGAGAGAGATAGAAACATCAAGGATGAGGGAGAATCATTGATTGGCTGCTCCTGCACACCTCCTCCTGAGGACCAAGCCTGCCACCCAGGCACGTGTCCTGTCCAGGAATCGAACCCGGATCTGGTTCATAGGTTGGGGCTCTGCCGGTCGGGCTGACCCAGTTTTTAAGACTCCATCTGATTACACGCTGGGCCCATCTGGTTAATCCGGAATAATCTCCCTATTTTAAGGTCAGCTGATGAACAGCCTTCCCGTCAGCAATTTTGATTTCCCTTTGCCGTGTAACCGAACGCAGCCACTCATTCTGGGAATGAACACATCTTCAGGAGGGGTGAGCGGAGGGGATGATGCTGCCGACAGGCGAAAGCCTGCATAAATAAACCCTTCACCACAAAATACAGGCCAAGCACCAAGACGCGGCCAGGAGGCCCACAGAACACGGGAGTTCGATTATTAAACGAATCTTGATTCTTACCGTGGTGGACCAGTCCTTGGGTAACAAGCATGCTTCCGAGAGAAAAGGGCAGGGCTGTAAGACAAAAGCAGCCTTCAGTGCTGCGATTTCAGAGCCTGGCAGGTCACCCGGAAGCCAGGGAGAATGACTCCGGTGTTTTCTCTTCCCTACCTGGCCATGGCTTCTTAGTCATCTGTTATTTTTCGTATTCGACAAATATTTGTGAAGTACTTCCTGAAGAACTGTCCTTGGGGCCTGCCCTGGGCACTGAACCTGCTGGACAGCTTTCCTCTATCAAAACCTACACCCCACGGGACACCGCCTCTGACATCCCCTTTGACGGAACGCCCACCGGGCACCAGCTTCTGACCACGACATACCACACGTGGCACCTTCGTGTCTGCATGCGGACAGGCAGCTGTTGCCTTGGGGAGCTGCCTTGAATTGGACATTTTGAAATTTCCAATCCTACATAAAAGAAAATGCCAGTTCAAGGAAGCGCCTGCACACTGTCCTCTCCAGGATAGTTCTCTGCGTTCGTCTCTCATGACATTTTGCGGCACCATTTGGGGATGTCTGTTCTCCGAGGGTTACAAGATTACTGCAGTTGTGTTAAACTCGGGCGACATTCAGCCTTGATTTTTCAAAACAGGCAAGTTCGTCTGGCAAAGGCAGTTTCTCGTTCTGTCAAAATGTGTCAAGTGACTTCTTCCCCAAGCTGAGCGCGGTGATAAACATCTAGCTCTTCCTAGCAACCGAGACAAATCAGATTGCAACCCATTTTTCCTCGCGCGTCTGTCTGATGGTAGGCGAGTGGGTCAAGCTGAAATGCTTGTCTGCCGAGGGCTTAATTAAGTTACTTACTCATAGGTTGTCAGAAAAAAAGACATGAATTGCTGGGAGCACAATCATCATAGTGATGCATAATGAATAGCAACTTGGAAAGAGTGTTTCTTCTAAAACAATTGATCCTGAGTTGGAATGGTTTGAGAAATCAAACTACGTTTCACGGTAAGATGATCCCTGTGTCAGCAGTGTTGCAAATACCGGGACTAGATCTGCAGGTTCTATTATGCCATTTTCAAATGACAAAGCATGGTTTTTTAAAATTAGATTTTAAATTCTTTATTGCTTAAAGTATTACCTATGTCTCCTTTTCCCCCCATTGGCCTCTCCCCGGCTGCTCCCATCCCCCAGCACATACCCTCACCCCCCATACGGTCCGTGTCCATTGGTTATGAATGATTACATGCGTGCATACAAGTCCTTTGGTTAATCTCTTATTCCACCCCTCCCCCACTCCCACCGTGATTGCGTTTTTAATTGGAGGAGACCTTAAAGCACGGCCTGAATTCACACCCTTGTCTTATTTATATCAGGCAGGCCGAGAAAGAAGATGACTCAGCAGAAAAGGTTATTTCAGAGACACTGTGAGAGAAGTATTAATGGGCCCTGCTACGTTCCATTCATCCCACAGATATTGATCAGGTACTTTCCATCTGTGAAGCACTGTGCTTGGCTGGCTCCAGGATGAAGCAATAAACTTGACATTATTCCCTGAACTCCATGAGGTTGGAGTCTAGTGGAATTCAGGAGGGTTTACTCTTTCAAGAAATTCTAAGTAGCACTCTGGGCCCATGTTCTGGGTCACATGAAAGTGTTATATGTGCTCCTACATCGAATATTACCTCTGCCCTGAAGCAGGGGTCTCAACACGGATTTAAACTCAAAATAGCCCAGATATCAAAGATCTTCAAGGAATTATGCAAAGCCCCTGCTCAAAAACAAAGCATTGCCATAATTCTAATACGATACAGTTTATTGCAGCACACACAGTGTTAACAAAGGTTAAAAGGCATGCAATGTACCTCTCTTCCAGAAGCTTTCTTCTTGACATTCTCTGATAATCTTTGAAATCTCCGCTCTGTGGATGTGCAGTTTTGATTTTGGGCAAAACAGCAGGCTCTGTAAGGGAAAGTTCCACGGTGAGTGGACCGAAATCTCCAGAAAAGCATCTGCTGTTTTCCTGGAGAAGGCAGGACGCTCCCTTCGCTGTGGTCATGCAGCGTGTCGTCCTAGGTTGGCCACCGGCTCTGAGCAGCGACCCGTGTCAGCGAGCGCCTTCCAGCTGGGAACATTGGACAGACGCAGGCAAGGGAATAATCCCAGCTGGGAAGCAGCGAGTGACTCATCCACTAGCGAGCAGGGGGCACTTATCCGGTCAGAAGGAATTCCTGCCGAAGTCACATCTGCCACGTTTTCTCTCTTACCTCCAGCCTCTGTCTAGGCGTTTCCTGCAATGCTGCCCACCCCCTCTGCCTCCCTGGTTTCCTGCAGACCCAGGGCATCGAGGCCTCCTCGGTGAAGAGATTCCCCTACAGCTCACCATGTACTCTCCAGGGATCGCTCTCCGGGGATCACAGTCCTGGGATCACTCTCAGAGCACTGGATGGCAAGTTTTGTGTTTTATAGACCTGTATTCTAATTTACCTTTACCATACACTTCTGTGTGCATTTTTATTTTTTTTTATTATTTTTAAAAAATACATTTTATTTTTTTTTACAGAGAGGAAGGGAGAGGGATAGAGAGCCAGAAACATCGATGAGAGAGAAACTTCGATCAGCTGCCTCCTGTATAACCCCTAACTGGGGATGTGCCCGCAACCAGGGTACATGCTTCCGATCAGAATCAAACCTGGGACCCTTGAGTCCACAGGCCCATGCTCTATCCACTGAGCCAAACCCATTTCGGCTGTATGCATTTTTAGACTGCTTTATATTTTTCTTTCTTTTTTTTTTTTTTTTTTTTTTTAAATATATTTTATTGATCTTGTACAGAGAGGAAGGGAGAGAGATAGAGAGCCAGAAACATCCATGAGAGAAAGTCATCGATCAGCTGCCTCCTGCACACCCCCTACCGGGGATGTGCCCGCAACCAATGTACATGCCCTTGGACCGGAATCGAACCCGGGACCTTTCAGTCCCCAAGCCGACGCTCTATCCATTGAGCCAAACCGGTGTTGGCTGCTTTGTATTTTTCTACACAGTTTGACAGTAGTTTTTTGTTTTTTTTTTTTTGTGTGTGTGTGTGTGTGTGTGTGTGTGTGTTTAAAACATATTTTAGGTTATAAAATTTCTGGTGGAACTATTGCTATGTTCTACTTCATTACTTTTATTATTTCACAGTATTTATCGTGTTGACATGCTATAAATTGGACTAATTCCCAGCCTTCATGATCGTCCTCCTTTGTAGAGATGTAGGTATTATTCATTCTTATCCACATTCTCTACTCTCATTTCCCTCTGCCCATCACCACCATTCTATGTGTATTTTTTAAAAATTGATTTCAGAGAGGAAGGGAGAGGGAGAGATAGAAACATCAGTGATGACAGAGACTCATTGATTGGCTACCTCCTGCACACTCCACACTGGGGATCGAGGCCATGACCCTGGTTCATAGGCTGATGCTCAACCACGGAGCCACACTGGCCGGGCCATTCTATGTGTTTAATGTGGATCTTTTGTATGTGTTCACTGTTTTGGATGCATGCATCTTTTTAATGTAAATGGTATTTTTATGTATTTGATTTTATTTTTAAAAACTATTTTCAACTCAACTCTATGCTTTTAAGATCCACCCCTATTGCTATATTCACCTAGTCCACAGCTTCTAACTGTTGTGTAATTCTCCAGGATGCATCCATGACACCACCACCACATGTCTCCTGCAGAGCCATGTGGTGACATTTTTCAGATATATATCTAGAAGTAAAATACAGGGCACGTGTAGTTCCAACTTCACTAAGTCTAGCCACTTTGCTCTCTCAGTGGCTGTGCCACTCACTCCCACCAGCAGTGCCTGAATGCCCCTCGTGGCCCACAGAGCCTGCTTATGGACACTTCAGCTGGATTCCAAACTGGCGAGGTAAAGAAGGGATTTTCTAACCTTGGCATTATCTAGTTTTCTAAATGTTGACAGACTCATAGGTATAAAATAATAATTAATTGTCTTATTTGCATTTCCCTGATAACTAAAGTGTTTGAACATCCTATATAATAAAAGCCTAATATGCTAAATGTCTGGTCGTCCATTCAACCAATCAAAGTGTAATATGCTAATGACATGTTAAGGCCGTTCAACCACTCACTATGACCACCAGGGGGGAAGATGCTCTGATAGGTTAGTTTGCCACTGGGGTCCAACCAATTGGGACTGAGTGAGATGGGCCAGACATGCCTTGAAGCCCCTTGTGGTCACTCCCCAGCTGGCTAACTTCCCATGTCCCTCTTCAGCACTGATCGTGCACCAATGGGGTCCCTTGGTCTGGCCTATACCCTCTTGCAGTCTGGGTTGAGAGGTCCCCTCCTCCCCTGAGTGCATGAATTTCATGCACTGGGCCTCTAGTCTCTACATATTGTTCAGCCAGACTGCCCCCTTCATCGCTAGTTTGAGATAATTAATCCCCGTTACTGGTCCTGGGCTGTAATCTTTTGTCATATATTGGCTCAATTTTTTATTGTGGTAAAATACACATAACGTAATATTTACCATTTCAGTCATTTTTAAAGTACACAATTCAGCGTTATTACGTACATCCACAACGATGTGTGGCTGTTATCACTGTCTGGTTCTGGAATTTTTTCACCACCCCAAAAAGAAAGCTCAGACTCTTTAGGCAGTCTCTCTTCATTCCCGCTTTCCTTTAGCACCCTGGCGAGCACTAACCTGCTTTCTGTCTCTATGGATGTTTTTACTCTTTATATTTATGTAAACAATATCGTACAATAAATGACCTTTTGTAACTGGCTTTTCTTCCTTTGCATAATGTTTTCAAGGTTCATTCATGTTCTAGCATGGATCCTTCTTATGACTCAATATTCCATTGCAAGGATATTCTGCATTTTGCTTACCAGTCCACTTATTGATGAATATTTGGGTTGATTCCACCATTTGGCTATTGTGAATAGAGCTGCTGTGAAGATTCGTGTACAAGTTTTTGTTTAAACGTGTCTTTAATTCCATTGGGTCATATGTAAAATTTTATGTTTAACTAATTGAGGAACTGCCAAGCTGTTTTCTGCTGGTGTTATACCATTTTACAATCCTACCAACAAACTACGTTCCAATTTCTCAATCTTGTCCACACTTGTTATTTTCTGTTTTTGTTTTTCTTTTTAATTATAGCGATGCTGGTGGGTGTAAAATGTTATCTCATTGTGGTTTTGGTTTGCACTTCTTTAAGGACTAATGAAATGAAACATTTTTTCATTTGCTTGTGCATGTTTATATATTCTCTTTGGAGAAACTCCTGTTCAAGTCCTTTGACCACTTTTTTAATTGGGTCATTTGTCTTTTTGTTATTGAGTTGTAAAAGCTCTTTAAATATTCTGGATACTGGACTCTTATCAGAGATGTGATTTGCAAATATTTTTCCCATTCTGTGGGTGGTTCATTAATTTTTTTTTAAAGCAAATTTAATTTAATTTGTTCCTTACTAAGAAGTCTCACTAATATTTCCTTGTCTCTGAATGATTCATGTAGGTCCTCTGCCATTTACCTCTGGGAGTTTTAGTGTTTTTCTTGTTGAGGTACAGCTCCTTGGCTTTTGAAGTTGACCTTGCTGATTCTGCTTATGTTCTTTTCGGAACTCTTGTTTGTAGTAGATATTAACCTTTAAAAGATGGCATTTAAATTCCTGTACTGAGGTTTCCTTGCTGGAGCTTTTTTTGGGCATTTAAATTCAGCTCTGCAGGCATTTACTTTTTTGCCTCTATCTTATCTATTTTTTGAGTTATTTATGAGAATAAAAACATTTATAAAGAAAATGTATTGCTTATTATTAAAGTTATCTTGACCCACTCCTTGCTGGGAACTAAAGTTCCCTTTTGTCTGATAAAGGTTAATGTGGATAATGGTCATATTTATTATTTTAAAAAGTATGTACATATTTTTAATTGATTTTAGAAAGAGAGGAAGGGAGAGAGAGAGAGAGAGAGAGAGAGAGAGAGAGAGAGGTAGAAACACCGATGAGAAACATCATCGATCAGCTGCCCCTTGCACGCCCCCTACTAGGAATTGGGTCCACAACCAGGGCATATGCTCTGACTGGGAATCCAGCAGGGGACCTCTGGGTGCATGGATCGATGCTTAGCCACTGAGCCACACCGGCCAGGCAAATTGTGCTCTTTCCCATGGGCTAAGCACTTTACATACTCGATAACAAGGTCGAAGGACCCTGTGGCACCTATGCCCTCAGAGCTCTACAAGGACATCTCTCTCTTTCTCTGCAACTCCCCACAGCACAGTACACAGAGGTGGTGGTCAGGGAGAATCACAATGACAAGAAAGGACTGTTCTCACTCCCCACTCACGTTAGCTCCTCAGCAAGCACTCCTCCGACCCCAGAGTAAGTACCTCTTCTTGGTTCTGCCTGGGCTGTGGCAGCAATAGGAACACCTCCCCTTCTCCGTTCCTCCAAACACACACACACACATACACACACACACACACACACACACACACACACACACCCGGGGTCAGGGACCCGACTATCACAATAACTGTGAGTCCTGCCGGCGAGACTGAAGCTCCTGCACGGCCTCCCAGAGGATCCCTGGTGAGCCTTTCCTCTGTGCCATGAATGTTTTATGGCTCTCCATTTCACAAAGGCAACTCAGGTGTCCGCTTGCTTCTCCTTGTGACTCGATATCATTTGTCTGTGTGCCTCCCCTAAACCTTGCTCCTTAAGCATCGCTTCCTCCAGAAACTATTGTTAGCTTGAAAAGCTGATCCCGGAGAGCACGAACTTCTTTCACCCATCACCACATTTCTCTTGTCTTCCTTCACGGAGCCCTGAAACACCTCATATTCATTCCTCACAAGTTGCAAAGTGGGGTTCTCAACCTGATGGCTAATTTAGTGGTTCAGGACTCTCCTCTCCTGAAGGGAACACCGGTCCGCGGCATGGATTTAGTAAGGTTGGCCTTGGTAACAGAAATGTGAAAACCAGGGTCACCACACACCATTCTGTTCGAGTCCATTCTGCTAAGGGAAACCCCTTCAATCGCTGACAGCCTTTGTACAGTTTGGTTAGGCTGCGTGCTATGTAGGGAAGGATAAAGGAAGGATTTTTGGAAATAAAAATTTAAAACATGCTTTTCAGGGCAGTCAGAAACACGCTTTCCTTCCCCATTCCATTTCCCCCGAAATTCATCCAACAAAGTGCCAGGCTGGATGCGGTGTAAGGAAAGTCTGGTATGAGGCGCCCCTTCAGAGGGCAAACTAAACACATACCTGCTTGCTTAGTGGCGGCAAGTGCGGCTTGTCTTGGTTCCCATGGGTAGACACTGACGCCATGATGACGGTCTTTGCTTCTCTTCTAGTTGAGCCTACTCAGCTTACCGTTCACCTGATGTCTAGGGAAAATAGAAGACAGTCACTGTGCTGTGTCTGAATGTTCCATCAACCTTACAAACACCTTTAATATCAACTCACGTATTTGAAAAACATGCTTTCATTTTGTCATTAGTCAATATTCAATCGCCTGTCAATTTACTTTCTTTTTAAAAAACATATTTTTAAAATTGATTTAGAGAGGCAGCGAGCGGGAGAGATAGAAACATCAATGATGAGATAGAATCATTGATTGGCTGCCTCCTGCATGCCCCACGTTGGGGATCAAAGCCACAACCCAGGGAATGGGCAACTCTGGCCTCCTAGTTTATAGGTCGATGCTCAACCATTGAACCACACTGGCCGGGCTACCAACTTACTTTCTAATGCTTCTCCCCCCCAACACACACGTACATGAGATGCCACACTCTGAAACAGTGGAATTGTTTACTCCCTGTAAATTGTGTCCTAAAGGAGTTTCCATTCCTTACAAGGCCATGGACTGCAGAAATAGTTACCGAGTGTCTGTGATGTGCCAGGCCAGGGGAGAGGATTAAGGATTAGGCAAACACAGCGCTAAAGGAATGCACAGTGAGAAGGGGAAGACAGACAAGCCAGCAGTACGCCACATGCTGAGGGCTCCCCCGACCTCGCTAATCCCGGCTGCTGAGGAAGGAGAGGAAGAACGTCTGGTCTCTGGTCTCTCTGGTCAGGTCTGAGACACGGAAGACTAGGACTCTCAAGCTTGTTGAGGGTGGATGGGCTCCTCGGCATAAAAACCAGTTTCAAAGGAACCTTAATAGCCCAGGCCAGGCCGCGTGGAGGCCTGAACTAACTCGCTGGTGGGAAGCACAGAGATAATATACTTGAGTTTGAAACATTACATTTGGGTGCCTGTGCGTACACATGGGAATTAGCCAGTAGAAATTCGAATAGTTGCCAAAATCGGTTTGGCTCAGTGGATAGAGCGTCAGCCTGCGGACTGAAAGGTCCCAGGTTCGATTCCGGTCAAGGGCATATACCTGGGTTGCGGGCACATCCCCAGTGGGGGGTGTGCAGGAGGCAGCTGATCAATGATTCTCTATCATCGATGTTTCTAGCTCTCTATCCCTCTCCCTTCCTCTCTGTAAAAAAAAAATCAATAAAATATATTAAAGAAAAAGAAATAAGATCCAATTTCTTAAAAAAAAGAAAATAAAAAAGAAAGAAAGAAAAAAAAAGAAATTCGAATAGTTGAAGATTTGGGTCTGGAGTTAGAGATTCAGGAGAGCCTGGGAAGATGCATTTGGAAGCCACCATCGTAGAGATAACAGGTAAAGCAAGGAACAAACAAAATTGTCTACAAAGAGTCTTGGAGAATGTGAACACCGAAGGCAAGGAATCCGGACAGGAGAAGAAAGGAAAAAGGCCAAGAAAAGGCCTGAACAGGAGTAGCTGGTGCGGAGGGGAAGGAAGGAAAGAGGGGAGGAACCACTGGTGTCCCGTGGCTCCGAAGAGTGACTTGGCAAGGATGGCCGTGGTCCAGGTGGACTCTGAATCCCTGCCCGGCCAACGGCCACTGCCCTCTGAGGCCCCAGACGCCATGCCACTGACTTCCACTGACTTCCCTGCGAAAAGCACATCTTCGCACACTGTGCTGCTTCCTACTAAACCACCAGGCATAGGAGCCGAGGGGGCTTTACTTGTACCAAGTTTCACGTTGGGTTCCTGCTGTTATTGTAAAGCCAGCCTGAGGCCCTACAGCGGGCATTCCTGGAATCAGAAACACCTGAGACTCAGACCCTGCCTCTCCGCTTTGCTAGCTCTGTGGTTTTTGGGGAAATGACCCCATGTGCCTGTGCCTCAGCTTTCTCACCTGTGAAGTGGGGATCACGGACGGGCAACCTTGAGGGGCTGTTGCCAGGAGGAGGGATAAGGATGAGGGAAGAGGTCCATAAGCCCCGGCACCCAGCACCCGGCACCCAGCACCCACCTCGCAGGGAGTGTGTGAGCAGTAAAGGGCAACTGCCACAGTGGACCCGGGCGCCTTATCCTGTGAAGATTTCCAGGAAGACTTTGCACCAGAGGTCAAACGGGACTGTCTTAGCCAGGATTCGGCCAGTGCCTCAAGTCAAGAAGCAGAGAGACAGTCTCTGCTTTGGTGGTCAGGTCCCCTGCACCCAGTTAATCAGCAGCCCGCAGCTAAGCACACCTTCCGGGGGTCTTGCCTCCCACCACCAGGCCCTGTCTCTCTGCTTCTTCAATGTGTGTGTGTGTGTGTGTGTGTGTGTGTGTGTGTGGTGGGGGGGGGGGAGAGACAAAGAAGGAGGAAGGCTGACAGGTGGGCAGTGGGGGGAGGTTGGCAGCAGGATGGGGGCGGAGCGAGTGATCGGAGGGACAGTCCCTGGGGGGACAGCGCTCTCAGCTGGGGGTGGGGGGTGGGTGGGGAGGAAGAGGAGGAAGGTTAATCCCAGAATCAATCTGCCCGAATCCGTTGCCACCCCCACCCCGAGGCTGCCTGCCGAACCCCGGCCCCCCCACCTTGCCTGGGTCGCAGCCGAGCGAAGAGGAGGAGTTGGCAGGGGAGTTCCTAGGCGGCCTCCGCCGACCCGCGCGGCCAGAGCGGCCTGCGGAGGCCCCGGGACCCCGGAATGGAGCGCCGAGGAGGCCCCCTCCCCCGCCATCTCTCCGCGGTCACCCCGCGGCTCACCTGCAAGGTGATCGCCTCCAGGCCGCGCGGCTCCGGCGCCCGCAGAGCGGAGCCCGCCGCTCCCCGCCGCCGCGGCCGCAGCCGGGCCCGCCGCCCGCCCCCGGCGCCCGCCTCCCCTCCCCGGCCGCCCGGGGCCCCTCACCTCGCTCTCCCCGCGGGCCCTCACTTCTCTCCTCGGATCTCCCTCCAGCTCCTCCTTCCTCCTCTGGCTCCGCCCCCTCCGCTCGCCGCTTCTCACTTACTCCTCCAAGTCACTGGTCCGCTGCACCCCTGCTCCCCAGGCTGCGCCCCCCGCTCCCCAGGCTGCACCCCTGCTCCCCAGGCTGCACCCCCTGCTCCCCAGGCTGTACCCCCTGTTTCCCAGGCTGCGCCCCTGCTCCCCAGGCTGCACCCCCGCTCCCCAGGCTGCACCCCTGCTCCCCAGGCTGCACCCCTGCTCCCCAGGCTGCGCCCCCCGCTCCCCAGGCTGCACCCCCGCTCCCCAGGCTGCACCCCTGCTCCCAGGCTGCACCCCTGCTCCCCAGGCTGCACCCCTGCTCCCCAGATTGCGCCCCCGCTCCCCAGGCTGCACCCCTGCTCCCCAGACTGCACCCCCTGCTCCCCAGGCTGCGCCCCTGCTCCCCAGGCTGCAGCCCCTGCTCCCCAGGCTGCACCCCCGCTCCCCAGGCTGCGCCCCTGCTCCCCAGGCTGCGCCCCTGCTCCCCACGTTGCTGGCCTTCCTTCCGGCGGCGCCATCGGTCCACACACTCCGTGGTCAGGCCCGGATGGCGCTGGCCCCAAACTCCCCACCACTCCCCAAGAATTGTCCTGACGCTGCCTCCTGAGGTCTTTCAGATAACTCCCTCCTCCCATCGATAACACAACCATCAGTCCCTCTCCTGGAGCGTGCCACTGGCTTCCTTACCTGCGATCCCTCCTTAAAAACATCGAGATGGAATGGACACATCCTATTTCTTAGTTCTGGATGAGCAACACAGCAATTCCGTATGTGTATACATTGCAAAAACGATCACCACACCGTATCTAGCTTACATCCATCATATACACAGTCACTTGGTCACCACCTCCCCCGTCCCCTCAATTTTTCCCTCCTTGGGATAAGCACTTTGAGTATCTACTCATTAGCAACTTTCAAATAATGAATATAGTATTATTAAGTATTGTCACTATGCTGTACATGGCATCCCAGGACGTTTATTTATTTTGTAATGGGAACTTTGTACCTTTATTAAAAATATGTATTTTATTGATTTTTTACAGAGATGAAGAGAGAGGGATAGAGGTTAGAAACATCGATCAGCTGCCTCCTGCACACCCCCTACTGGGGATGTGCCTGCAACCAAGGTACATGCCCTTGACCGGAACTGAGTTAGGGACCTTCCAGTCCACAGGCCGATGCTCTATCCACTGAGCCACCCCGGTTTCGGTGGAACTTTGTACCTTTTGACCTCATCCGCCCATTTCACCCGCCCCCACACACGCCTTTTCACATACTCCGGGGTGAGTATTCTCATCTCCCATCGATGGACTGGAAACTGAGTTGTGCAAGGCCACCCTGGGAGGTGGCAGCAATGCCAAGGCAGCGTGGCCCAGGCCTTCTCGGTCTCCTTTTCCCGGTCAGTCCTCTCCAGCCTCCTGCCGGCCCCAGCCTCCCGCACGTGGGGGGAGCTGCTGTGCCTTTCCCTGTGCTGAGCTGGAAGACAGGCCGTGGACCACGTGGTCGGCCCTCATCCTTCCTCACCTTTTCCTGCTGTCCGCATTGACCTCTGTGCCTCTTGCCTCAGCCCCTCCACGGAGTGCACCCCTTCACAGCCACTTCCACCACCCACCTTTCTTTTTTTAAGTATATTTTATTGATTTTTTTTTTTTTTTTATGGACAGGAAGGGAGAGGGATAGAAAGCCAAAAACATCGATGAGAGAGAAACATCGATCAGCTGCCTCCTGCACACCCCCTCCTGGGGATGTGCCTGCATCCAAGGTACATGCCCTTGACTGGAATTAAACCTGGGACCCTTCAGTCCGCAGGCCGACACTCTATCCACTGAGCCAAACCGGTTTTGGCCACCATTCACCTTTCTGTTCCTCATGTTCACCTGGCTTTTTCCACCTGAGCCCTGGCAGGGAGCCCCTTCTCCCCTCTATCAGTCTAGTCCTGGCTTTTTCCTACTCATCCTTCTCTGACTTCCTCAGGAAGACCAGCCCGGACCCCCCAGCCAGCTAAGGTAGGGCTCTCCTTCACAGCAGGACGCTCTGGCCTTTCTTTCACAGGGCCTA